AGCGACAGGAGGTTGCGGATTATGAAGAGGATCATCCGTCCCTTTGTATTCTCTGTCGGCGAGCCATTATGAGTGTTTTGCATGGTCATTACCGACCGCAAGGGTGTGGAATGTGGATAGCTTCCGGAAAAGTAAAACAGGTTTAATACAACCTTTTTATTGGATGGAGGGGCTATTTTAAACCATTGCACAAAGAATTGCTGTCGACAGGCTGCATTTGCCTAGAGGGGGCAGCGCCGCGACATTGTCGGTGATGCATTGCGGGTCCGTGCAAACTTCGCGTGTTTCGCATTATTTCACGTAACTAAAGTCGTAACTCTTAACGATGGAACTTGGTTAGCCTCAAGAATTTCTACCATAATATTCGCAGTTGAGATATCTTAACTTTTATCGCGTTCTTAACGCACCGGTTCATAATGAAATGGCTTTTGAATACGATTTCTGAAGCTAAAATTAAAAACATTACTGTTGCAGAACCCCATCTCACTAATGAGCGGAGCTCGCTAGAGGATATTTAATGCGCGTCTGGTTTCAGTAGAATTCTGCACTCAACGTTGCTCTCATTGCTGCGTCACGACGACTCACGTATCTAGGTATCACTTATCCCTGTTTAAAACACTCCAACGTTTGAGTTGGTATTCCCAGTGGTAGTAAATTTTCTGTCTGCTCTCCCCTCGCGAGTTTAAAAACCTGATAAAATATTTAAAGCCAGGCTTTAAATATTTTATCAGGTTTTCATGTTGTATCGTGCGGCGCCAGTGGGGGCCGGCGATCGCCGTTTCAACTAAAACATTCATATTCGATTTACAGCTTTGTTTTCTTTGTATGAATTTCACATTGTTGCTTGAATTGTGAAAACTCATTGTGTTTCATAGATTTTCCTCTCGCATATTACTTCTCTTTTTATTTAAATATCCTGTTCAAACAGAAGTTTAAGAGCTATACCGATCGCCTGTAAAAGTGCAACTTTAATAGTCGCCGTTAAATCTCCCTAGGATACAACTTTTGCCTTCATTCTTTATGGATTCTCTAGCGGTGTCGTCTCCGCATCGTCTGCCGTGTAAACTAGGGCTTAGCCTTGCCGTGAGGGATTATCCGTATTTGCGGAAAATTTCCTCGACACTCCGCCATTCCCCTCACGTATCGGCCTCTCATCTCGCGCTGTCGTGCCGTCCCCTTATTACCTCCCAACTATTACCCCAACGCTGTACTGTTCAATGTCGAACTCGAAATACTAAGCAAGGATCAGTTTGCGACATGCTTCTTTAGTTAATTGCGTTCCCATTTCAAATAACATCATTAGTTTAAATCTCTTACGTTACCTGTTCGTTGACTATTCATCATAGCTACATCACATTAAATGGTATGTATCTAGTTGCTCATTTATTCCTGCGTGTCTATAGTCACATATTACGTGTCATTTTTAGAATCGTGATTGTTATCTTCTTTACCTTTGAGTATAATAATTACTTTAATCGCCATATGACGTGAATGTAACAACAAAATGCGACAATTTCGTATCGAGTCGATACTTGGCGAGTCCAAATCGATACCAAGCAGTCACGCGAGCATCGATTGTTGATTCATTAGCTTGCGTCTGAATGCTCTTCAAATAAACATTACTCGGCCAAATTGCTCGCTTGTAATCGTTTTTCGATTGTCCTCGAACCCCACGATCAAGGCAATATTGACTTAAGGGTGGAAGATTGTTTGTGTTTAGGACGCGCCTATAGAGTTTCGATCATATTTTGCATGGTGACCGGGGTACTATGTTAAGGAATAAATAAATATAAATATCCTTGGACATTTTACACTGCGCCTCTAGTCCCAAACTAAGCAAAGCTTGTACTATGGGTACTAGACGACGGATATAAACATACTTAAATACTTTTTTTTTTTTTTTGTAAATACATACATATTATACATAGAAAATACCCAGTCCAATACAAACAAATATGTTCATGCACACAAATATTTGTACTGTGCGGGAATCGAACCCGCAGCCTCCGGAATAGTAGTCCGTTTCGAACCACTACACCAAACGGCCGACAATATAAATGATACAATGTTCAATCGTCGAACACTCTAACCTGTTATAATCTAAAGTTCTATTAAAAAGAATAAAAGTTTTTGAACTAGAAAAGGGATTGTATTTATATTCGCCTCCTAGAAACCATTTTTCTATTAGAAGACATCTCCACTTTACATTACCTTCAAGTTCGTCATGTAATATAAACCTTTAAGGACGATTTTTTTGCAAAAAAATCTGCTTAATTTCCTCATCAAAAAAATTTACATTGTCAAAATTGCATTATCTTCAAGTTGGTCATGTAATAAACCTTTATAGACGATTTTTTTTTCAAGCAAAATCTGTTTCACTATCTCATTTAAAAATAACGTCAAAATTTCAAAAGAAATCGTTTTACCTAATAATAAAGAAGCGGAAGACACGGTCCCCAAGTTCTAATTAAGCTATAAAGTGAGGGTTGTTCAAGAAAATGGTATTGTCTCCGGGTGAGTGACGTGGCGTGGAGGAGCTCCTCTGACGGCCACTTTTTGTTTAGCACACAGGAGATCGGCGCCTGCCAAGAAACCAGTCGGCAAACCTAGGACTAAGCAGCCCAAGAAAGTCAAATTCATAAGTGAGTGTGCGGTGAATCTGACGATTTACTTTAATGTGTTGCTGCTGTTAATTTACGAACACGTTTTCAGTAATTAGATCGCAAGTTGGTCCGTGAGTTCCGTGACTAGCTAATCGACACAGTTTTATACTTCTGCAGGGGTCATCGTTTTTTTCATTGTATTATGTACCCCTGTACTACTATACGAAAATAAATAAATTATTATTAAAAAAAAAAAAATCTTTGTTGTTGTGCCTTTTAAAGCTTGGTATTATGTTATTATTCTGTGTTACTTTTTCTTTAACGATAAATCGGTGTGCTCTCTGCCTTAAAGGTTTGAACAAGCTCTAATGATTTCCATCTTGGGTGAGGATGTAAAGAAACTACGGTTATTGCTCACTGTTTATTTGCTGTAAGCACAACATCATGCGTTCATGACCATAATTATTTATTTTAGCCTACTCTAGATCGATACGTTCAAAAAAACTTAGGAACGAGTTTCAACTGCTTTTAGCGCAGATATACGCAAAGTTATGTCGAATGCTTAATTTGTATTTATGGAATATTTACATTCATAATGGATGGTTCATACTCCACTTATTATTATCTATTCTCTGATATTGTAGAGATTCACATGTTTTCTCCGATTAACCTTTAACAAAATTGCAACGGCTTTTTTGTAAAATATACAGCAAATTCTCAACGAATATCTTTTCAAAATTCAGGCGTAGATAAAATAAAATGAAACATACCACGTATCTTTTAGGGTAAATGTGCTGAAATGTATGTAAAAAAATGCAAAAATATTCAACATCTGCCGTAACTACATTCTTAGGCATTTAACGGAAGGTGCAGTAATTTAAAAAGGTTTTGTATGCTATTTTTATTATTATTGAAGATTACTTATAAACTAAATAATATTCTGTTTAATAATAATATTATCTTTAACAAACAACATAACCCTCGTGAGACTTGATAATTTTACAGACAGATCTAAATCAAGCTTTTGATACAGTCGGATTCACCCTTCTCATCAACAAATGACATTATGCACTGAAATACATCGCTCCACCACAGAGCTGTTCGACTTAATAATTCAGTGCACGTTGACTCACTCGCGCAGTACCTGAAACGCGGTAGCGAAAGCAATATTCGCATGAGTCATCCCCCAGGGAGGTCGCTTAGGTCCTCCCTTCTATAATTAAACAAAGGATTCTGTCGTCGCAAGTTTAATACCCGACCTTGAAAATAGCGGGAATTTGGACGATGCAAGACCCTTGCGTTTTAAAATTCCACCACCTAAATTGAGACTAAAGTTAATTATACAACGCTTAAGTGTACTTGGGCCCGGGGCTAAATTGTATACACGCTTGTGAATTTAGTTCGTGTACAGCGTTTGCAATAAACACGTTTAATTAAATGGCTCCCTAAGCATAAATTGTAATTAATCCTAATAGACCTTGGGGTGGTAATGGCGTTATGGAAAGCATTTGTTTCTGATTTGGTTCAGAGAATGACGGTTTTAGCGAACTAATTAAATGCGAGAATTTATGTCAATTTCCTCGTAATACAGAATGCTAATCATTGTGGTTCCCAATCAATCACAAACAATCTCTGAATTCTCTGGAGTAAATAAGAGTTTATAGTCTATTAAACTTAGCTCATCTCTGAATCTTGATGAATCATCAAACTTTTGCGATAAAATTATCCACAAACTGGTGTTATTTTTAGTCGCTAGCGTATTCTTAATCATCATTAACAACAGTAGCTCTGAAGGGTGCGTTTACGTTCATAAATTCAAAACTTTCCTTAGTTCTCAGTACTTGATAACTCCTTGAGTTATCTAACATCATAATAACATGAAATATGGTTTAAAATTTCATAAACTTTGTCCTTTTTTATTACAAATCAGTTTATAAATGTAAAAACTGAATAAAGTTTTAGGATAGCTTTGATCCACAGCTCAACATTGCACAGCCACGATCTCATTGCTTTGCACCACCGACTTTTAGTTGGACGAAAGTTGGGCCCGATTCTAATTTGTATGAAGATTCGGCCGATATCAAATCGGTGTAATGTGCGCACTTTCATACATGGCCATACTGATTAACAGCCCGACCAAACTGTCAGCCGACAAAAAATCTGTGGTCTTCGGCTAGGCTTACATCTGAATTTCGAACTCCTCCTATGTTCTTCTGATTAATTTCGTTGCGAGTTCAATGACATTCCCCCGGGAGAAACTTGACCTTCATTGGTAAGGTTTTTATGGAGGTCAAGCTGTAGATCCTGGCTACACAGGAGTTGCAGTGGTGGGAACGAGAGGTGGGAATAGTCCCGTTAGGCTTACATCTCTCTCATGACGTGATTGTTTGTCCGCAGCCACTGAAATCCGCTGCCAAGAGATGTCGAAGGGAGGTCTGGCTTACGAGGTGATCCTCGCGGAGCCGGTGGGAGTGCCGGCGCCGCGCCGCGCCGACTCGCCCGAGAAGACGCCCTCAGTCGAGGAGATCCAGGAGAAACTTAAGGCTGCAGAGGAGAGGAGACGTGTAAGTATAATTTTTCCAGAAGCTTCACTCTAGGACAGTAGTTCCCAAACTATTTAGTCTACTGCCCACTTTGAGAATAAATTATTTTTAGCGCCCCCCATTTTTGTAGTCAAGAGTCGAGCTCAGTCGATTTCTAAGAGTCCTCCTAGTAGATGACGCCTCCCAAGCCTCTACACAACGTCTCGATTTTTTTCTGGGTCTCTTACCGCCCCCCTTTTAAGCCTGCAGCGCCCACAAGGGGGCGTTATCGCCCACTTTGGGAAAGACTGCTCTAGGATAACTCTAGCTATAGTATAAACTTAGCGGGTATTTTTCCAGAAGATTCACTCTAGGATAACTCTCGCTATAGTATAAACTTAGCGGGTATTTTTCCAGAAACTTCACTCTAGGATAACTAGCTAGAGTCAAGAAGTGGAAAACACATTCAATCTTAAAACTCCAATGATTGAACTGGAAATTGTAGAGAGGAAAACTAAGTGAAGTAGTTGATTTAAAGCGCATAGTTATGTCTCACCGATTGTGCTTCTTCCACCATCATATTATCATACTTTCTAATATCATGATTCCCAGGATTACCTTCTACTTCTTTTACTGAACTTAAAAAGATGCTTATTTTAATCTTATTTAATTTACCAAGATTTTTGGCTTATTCCGTCGAAGTCGTAACACAATGCTGTCGTTTCTGACTTCAAGATCATGAACACAACAATCCGAGCCTTTTCAAGGCGAGATTGAATAGGCACTTACAGAGCAGACAAATATTTTTTTTCTGGTGTATAGGCATTTTTTATATCCAACCTCTCGCCCTTCCAGAGCTTGGAGGCGAGCAAGATGGCCGCGATCGCGCAGAAGATGCAGAAGATCGAGGAGGCGTCGCGCATCCGCATGGAGCAGACCAACAGCTTCATCGTCAACACCAAGGAGGCGCTGGACGCCAAGATGGAGACGCATGAAGAGAAGCGCGAGGCTTACATCAACGAGCTGCGCGCGCGCCTCAAGGACCACCTCGAGGGCGTCGAGAAGACCAGGTCAGTGGGAGCTGCAATGGTGTGTCACTAGCACGGCCGCACGGGCCACCTTATGACAGGCGCCGGACGCAAGATGGAGACGCATGAAGAGAAGCGCGAGGCTTACATCAACGAGCTGCGCGCGCGCCTCAAGGACCACCTCGAGGGCGTCGAGAAGACCAGGTCAGTGGGAGCTGCAATGGTGTGTCACTAGCACGGCCGCACGGGCCACCTTATGACAGGCGCCGGACGCAAGATGGAGACGCATGAAGAGAAGCGCGAGGCTTACATCAACGAGCTGCGCGCGCGCCTCAAGGACCACCTCGAGGGCGTCGAGAAGACCAGGTCAGTGGGAGCTGCCATGGTGTGTCACTAGCACAGCCGCACGGGACACCTTATGACAGGCGCCGGACGCAAGATGGACCCGCATGAAGAGAAGCGCGAGGTCTATATCAACGAGCTGCGGGCGCACCTCGAGGGCGTCGAGAAGACCAGGTCAGTGGGAGCTGCAATGGTGTGTCACTAGCACGGCCGCACGGGCCACCTTATGACAGGCGCCGGACGCAAGATGGAGACGCATGAAGGGAAGCGCGAGGCTTACATCAACGAGCTGCGCGCGCGCCTCAAGGACCACCTCGAGGGCGTCGAGAAGACCAGGTCAGTGGAAGCTGTGACATGAATGTAGTTCTGACGGGCACACATGTCACTTTATTTATTTTTTTTAAATTTTCTTTAAAAATTCCTCATTTTTTTGAAAAATGGGAGGGACCTGGGAAATTTATTTGCTATGGAGAATATCTTCAAAGTCAAGGTGTCACTAAAATGATATTACTTCTAAGTTTCTGGCGACACGCGTGGTTTACCATGGCAGGCAATGATTACAGGCCAGCTATGAGTTTCTGCATTTTTAAATCAATTAGATCTTGATTCTAACATTATTGCTTTGAGATTCGTTCTTTAGAGCTTAACAACGGGAGTATTTCCCACCTCTCGTTCCAACCGCTTTCCTCCTATGTATCCAGGATCTACAACTTGACCGCCAATAAGAATAAAAACCCAACCAGTGAAGGTCCCGGGGGAAAGTTAAACTGTTATTGGACCCGCAACGAATTTTATCAGAACAATATAGTTCGAAGTTCTAGTGGCTCCGTGCACGATTACAGCGCCAACTAGCGTCCACAACTTTGTGGGTTCTGTCACATTGACATTTAGGTCGTATATTTGTGAAAAAATATCGAAATGAAAAAATAACAAATATTTTCAACTAATAAATTGTTGTGATACCACGATTTGGGTGGAAAAAAGGTTTTGAAATCATTTTGGTCATTCAAATCAAATGAGGTAAGTCCAAAAAGTGTGTTTAATTTTGATTGTGTCAGGGTTTGTTTACTTCATTTATAGTTGTAGTTTTACAGTAAAACAAAAAGAAAAAGCTACTTTAAGAAGCGCGAGGCTTACATCAACGAGCTGCGCGCGCGCCTCAAGGACCACCTCGAGGGCGTCGAGAAGACCAGGTCAGTGGGAGCTGCAATGGTGTGTCACTAGCACGGCCGCACGGGCCACCTTATGACAGGCGCCGGACGCAAGATGGAGACGCATGAAGAGAAGCGCGAGGCTTACATCAACGAGCTGCGCGCACGCCTCAAGGACCACCTCGAGGGCGTCGAGAAGACCAGGTCAGTGGGAGCTGCAATGATGTGACACTAGCACGGTCGCACGGGCCACCTTATGACAGGCACCGGACGCAAGATGGAGACGCATGAAGAGAAGCGCGAAGTATACAGTGTGTCCGGGCTTGTAGTGATCAAACTTTAAGGGCGTAATCTATGGACAATTTTATCGATGAAAATACTTCAAATTTGGGGCTTGACCCATTTCTCGCAAAATTACGAGGATTTAAGTTTTTAATTTTTAGTTTTCACCTCTTCCTTCAAAAACAAGTGAAAGCGTGGGTAGCTTAACACTAATAAGCAAAAATTTTATATCATGCGATAGCCAATAAAATTATCTATTAGCAGAAGTAGAAAACAGATACAAGTTTCATACATTTTAAGGGAGTAAGAATGGATTTAATTAGAAAAAAACATGACTTTTTTCACTTCTTTTTCAGTTATTTTCCAACACAAGAAAAACCAGGTCGTTAAGGTATGTTTTATTTGCTTTGTATTATTAGTATTTGAGCTATTCTACAAAACGAATGTGGAGCTGCAATGGTGTGTCACTAGCACGGCCGCACGGGCCACCTTATGACAGGCGCCCGACGCAAGTGGAGACGCATGAAGAGAAGCGCGAGGCTTACATCAACGAGCTGCGCGCGCGCCTCAAGGACCACCTCGAGGGCGTCGAGAAGACCAGGTCAGTGGGAGCTGCAATGGTGTGTCACTAGCACGGCCGCACGGGCCACCTTATGACAGGCGCCGGACGCAAGATGGAGACGCATGAAGAGAAGCGCGAGGCTTACATCAACGAGCTGCGCGCGCGCCTCAAAGACCACCTCGAGGGCGTCGAGAAGACCAGGTCAGTCGGATCTGTGACTTGACTTAAGGTCCTATGTCCCCTAGATAAGGCAGAGGGCGTCCACAGCAGTCCTCCATCGCGTTCGGTTTTGAGCTTCACGTTTGATCTCGCTCCAAGTCTGTCTTGCCGATTTTCTTCGCCTCGTCTGCTACAGTGCGCCGCTAATTTTGTTTGGGGCGATCATATATGCGTTTTTGACGCTGTGACACGTATATTATTTTGACAGGCACACGTATATTATTTTGACAGGCACACGGGTCATAGCTCGAGGGCGTTGGGAAGACCAGGTCAGTGTAGAATATAACGGACATAGAAACATCTGTAGGATTTGACAGTCGTAGGACACTCCCTCATTTTTGGCAAAATGAGAGGGACCTAGGAAATATTTGCTATGGAGAATATCTTCAAAGTCAAGGTTTACCATGGTAGCCAATGACTACAGCCCAACTACGAGTATCTGCATTTTTAAATCAATTAGATCTTGTTTGATAATATTCCAACATTATTGCTTTGAGAATTGAGATTGTTCTTTAGAGCTTAACAACGTGAGCATTCCAACCTCTCGTTCCAACCGCTTCCCTGCTGTGTATCCAGGATCTACAACTTGACCGCCAATAAAAACTCAACCAGTGAAGGTCAAGTTTGTCCCGGGGTAAAGTTAAACTGTCATTGGACCCGCAACGAATTTTATCAGAACAACATAGTTCGAAGTTTTAGAGCTTCATAGCATCAACGTGTGTCCGCAGATTGACGCTGGAGCAGCAGACGGCGGAGGTGTACAAGGCGATCGAGGACAAGATGGCGACGGCTGCCGACAAGCGCGACGAGAACATCAAGAAGATGCTCGAGCGTTTGCGGGAACATGTAAGAACTTTATTTATTTGCTAAAGCCTGGTCCGTGAGCACGTAGAATTTTGTCCAATGACCCCAAGCTACCCATCCTTATCGCTCGCGCGTAATTATGTTGCTATCGCGCTCGCACACTTACTGCGGGCGCCCGTCGCACAGTCGCGACAGCAATATAATTACGCGCGAGCGATAAGGATGGGTAGCTTGGAGTCATTGGACAAAATTCTACGTGCTCACGGACAAGGCTTTAGTCACATGGTAAATACTTTAACTTTCATTTAAGTTAAATGTTGACATTAGGGATCGATGTTGTTTTGCGTACTAAATTCGTTGATTTTAAAGTTAAAAGTGCAAGATTTTAAATGAACGTGTTTTTTCGTTTCGCGACCATAAATTCATATCCTTTTCGACTAATGATGACGTGCATTCTCCAGCGTGTTTTAGAAATTAGGTACCCTATGATTAATCTATGTTTAGCTAGTTAGTTTTCGGTATGTTCTGGGTACGATTTTAGGATGAAACATAACATAAAAAAATGGGTAAACGTTGACGATTTCGAAGAATGACTAACCGAATAATTATTGTGATTATCTGCTTCGGGCGTCATTTAATGGCTTAAATTGAGCATAGGCCTATGATTGTGGTTGGTAATAAGTCACTAACCCGAATAGGTTACTAACCCCGAAAACCTACAAAAGAATCAGTCACAATCATTTTATGGAAAAAAGGAATGACAAATTCAGTTTTGAAATCTGTAATTCGACGCGTTCAAGTATGTTTAGTAAAGGCGGCGGTACCGCGATAGAGACCAGAGCCCCGATTACGGTAATTTTTAACGTCTCCAATCCAGACGCGCTTCATCGATTCTGCGATACGATTGGTCAAAACAGCTGACGTACGCTGTTTTGATCATTACGCTGACCAATCGTATCGCAGAATCGATGAAGCGCGTCTGGATTGGAAACGTTAAACATTACCGTAATCGGGGCTCTGACAAGCGACCGAGACGTCAGACGAGTCTTTAGACAATGTTACTTCGCGAGCGAGACAAAAAGTAAGTCAAGTAACGGTCGCAGTCTTCCGTTTCGGTCTCTTGTCTCTGTCGCGACGTGAACCGGTACCTTTAAGCCGCTTGTACATGCTAAGAAAAATCGCCGGGTCTACGCAAGAATTCGCGTCATTTCTACACGCGAACCGTGTACATTGCTCCGGCGCTGACCAAGAAATAATTCTTGTCTGCGCTAGATACGACACGCGGGAGACGCACTACACTGTGTAGCAAATTTTCGTAGCTAGGTCCGTTGAAATTCTTGTCCTATCTGCGGCAGACACGGTGTAATTTCTTAGGCCCAGAACAGACGGTGAAACGAAACTGCAACTGCTAGTTACTTTTGAGTTGCATCTAAGTTTCTGCCATAGCGTCCGTTGAGAGACCACACATGATGCGACCAGTTTTTAACTTTCAGTTTCAGTTTCATTCATAACATCAGAATCATCAGAAAGTTGCAGTTTCGTTGCAGTTGCGTTTCACCGTCTGTTCTGGGCCTTAGTGTACAAGAAGCCTAACACGTGTTGTGTGGTGCAGGAGGAGCAGGTGCGCAAGGTGCGCGCGGGCAACCAGGAGCGGTTCACGGCACTGGAGAGCGCCATCCAGGAGAAGTTGCAGCAGGCCGCCGGCCGCCGCCTGCTGCTCGAGGCCGAGCAGAAGGAGAAGCTGCGCAACTACGTGAGTACCAGTCACATGTCAAGGTGGACAGACGACCGCGGCAGGCCTGCAGGCAGCCGCAGCAGGCCCGGCCGCCGCCTGCTGCTCGAGGCCGAGCAGAAGGAGAAGCTGCGCAACTACGTGAGTACCAGTCACATGTCAAGGTGGACAGACGACCGCGGCAGGCCTGCAGGCAGCCGCAGCAGGCCCGGCCGCCGCCTGCTGCTCGAGGCCGAGCAGAAGGAGAAGCTCCGCAACTACGTGAGTACCAGTCACATGTTAAGGTGGACAGATGACCTCGCCACGAATGCTGTCAGGCCGCTATTGACCGGTCAATATGGAAATGGTTGAGCCCGCATTCAGCACTGGACGTCCTGTAGCCTGTGGCTTAATACCCGCGCCGGTCTGCCACTGAACACTTAGGAACCTTATTGGGTACTAATGCTTCTGAATTACGTGAACTGTGTAAGTGCTTTCACAGTTAACCGGCAAGAGCACTCGCCTTAGCAGTGACGAGGTTTTGAAATCTGCTTGAGACTTACAAGGAGCTGGCACCACCACGCGCTACTATAAGATCATCAAAATCGATGATCTACTTACTGCACATTCTCTTCTGCAATGTAAATATAGCTTTTTTTTAACTCGACTAACAGGTGCTCGGGAGATCTAGCTGTAGATGTATCTTCAATCATGATTTCTGCATTAATCTCCATATCTGCAGGTGTAGTTGTATCATAATTATTACATTTTAATGTTCTTCCATAAATTAGTTTTACTAAATGTTGTGTGTTTCATTTAGTTGATTTACTCATTGTAATTTAATTTCACATCTCCATCTTTATTTGATCACGCATTAACCATTACCATCCATTATTTTTCACGTACATTAGAACTCTAAGCTCATGGAGGTGCGGTCTGCGGCGACGGCCAAGGTGGAAGAAATCACGAAGGAAATTGAGACCAAGCTGACAGCTGCTGAGATTAACCGCGAGAAGGAAATGCAAAGGAAACTCGACTTTGTCAAGAAGGAGGTTGGTGGATAGGCTTTTCAGTATCGGTTGGAGGCTGTTGAATGCTATTTTTCGGTGGTGGTGGTAGTTTATTTTTGGAAGACAGAGTTTGTAACAAATACCTGGATTTCTGAATTGGTTTTCGCTTTTGGATATGCCGTTAAGGGTTTAAATCCCGACCAGTAGTCTTCAATAGGACATTTATATGAGTTAAAACTTAACATAGCTCAAGAAGCTATTATTTCTGGTCTTCTAAGTGTTTCATCTGTCAAAGCTAACCAAAATCCAGTTCTAAGACTACCCCCCTAGGATAAGTGATAAAACGTGACAGTTGTAGTTTCGAAATCCCTTCAAGGAGCTACGTTTTGCGACTCGTCTAGACGGCTGACTAATAATTTATTGGCTGCGGGACTCAGTTGATCCCTCACTTCCCGTTTTTGCAACATTATTCTTTACTGCTCCGTCCCTATCGGCTGCAGGGTGATGTTAATTAACCTAAAGCCTTCCTCGATAAATGGGCTATCCAACTCAAAAATATTTTTGAAATCGGACCAGTGGTAGTACGAGAGGGGACAGCTAAGTAACATAATCTCCATGGCACACGTTCAGAAACTTTTCTTCCACGAAGCTTATTTTAGTATCAAGTGACGTAGGGTTTATTACGGTAGAGCGGTCTCTCGTTCCTAAGATAATCTAACGCCAACTTGATTAGACATAAGATCTACTGTTTACTAACGAAACCCTGGGCGTTCTTACACTTACATACTTCTTGAAATCTTAAATGGAACAGCATAGTATAGTATAGTATTTTTTGTCTTGCCACGATCGACTGGACTAATATTCGCGATCGACTGGACTAATATAGGCGATCGACCGGTTGGCCACCCCTGATCTAACGAATCTCTCGTGTTTCAGGAGCGACGCGCGGAGCTGGTGCGACAGAACAAGAGCGCGCGCGCAGACACCGACACGCACGCACACGCCGCCGCCTAGACACAACACACACCACCACGCACCGGGAGCGCGGTCGCTGGACCGAAGCTACCTTTAGGGCCAATACAGCCACGCTCTAGGAACTAAATTAAGCCGAGCCAAGTCAAACCTTTGGCGTGCTATTGAGCCGCGCAAAACTGCACCCCCAACTGCTACGGTTTTCAAATGATGTTTCAAAATGACCAAAGTAGTCTTGTCTTAGATCTGAGACTAAGCAGCTGACAGAGGTTGCACAGATATGAGACAAAGCATAGGAGAGGTTAAAACACCCTTTGGCACGTGACAATGAAATCCGTTGTTAATGAAAAATATTTTTATTACACGACGTTAAATGAAAGGGCTATTCCGAAACGCTGTTTACGTAGTTTCGAGTCTGTCACCGTCGCTCATGCTTTGCGCCAGAGGGATGGCGACGTTTGATACTTCTGATAACGTTCTTCGGATTGACCCCCAGATGACAGAATTGCATCGATGGTTTTAACTTGACTCGGCTTTTTTGAAGGTTGCTTGTATTGGCCCCAAAACCGACATCTACGCTTTTGAGTCCTAAACATTCGCCCAACTACTCACCCCGACGCCGACCAAAGTAATGGGAGATAACACTTAATTTTCGTAAAAGGTTTCGGAATGTCGAATGCACAAATGCCTATGAATAGAAAAAGTAATTTTAAACGTACATAATGAAGACTGTATCTTTGAGGTCGGACTGCAAGCATCCCGAATGATTCCGGAATATTGCGGAAATTTACGACAAACGCTTGAATGAGGATACAATCTGTCACTCATAAAATTTGAAGATTATAGATGCTAGTAGTCCGCGCCTTATACCGCTCCAATGTATGTCGTATCTTCCGTAAAATCTCTGTTCGAGTTGCCCTAGCTAGATTGATGTATAAACTCTTCCGTTATCTTCCAAATGTCTGTGTAGTTGTGCTGATTGGTAATTTTATATATTTTAAACAAATCGAACAAGCACCATTTTCATAAGATTAAAAACGAAATTACCAGTGAGCACAACATGTATCAAAGTACAAAATATTTCGCACACTCGATGTAACGAAGTAGAAATATGCGTTGTAGTTGAAAATCGAGTAGTTTAAATACGAAAACTCGGGTTGGTAGATGTTTTTATCGGGGATTCGTTGATTTATCGAGCGCTTTAGACAAGGATATCACTTTTATAGACGGGACGATGGCCTTTTGGGCATTTTATATGGATTCTAAGGTTTAGGTGGTTTTCGATACAGAAACGGGTCCCGGTAAAGATGTCTACTGGAGGTATTTTTTGTGGCGTTGTTTGGCGGCCTGCGGATCTCTGGTGAGTGTGTGAGGCGATTACTTGCGGGCGTCGCGCGGACACGGAACAATATTGTAGGCGGCCCTGCTGAACACCGGACTTGCCAGCGTGTGGGAAACACTTCACTGTGAATTTTATGACTAGCAGGATTTGATTCAAATTCGCTCGATGCTTATTTGTCAGAGGACACTGAACATGTATAGCGTAAACTACATCATGTTCTGAGGTGTCAGTGAATTTCAAAATCAAAAAATGCTAACCAAGTTTTCAGACCCTAATTTTTAAATTAGGAAGCGATCTAAAATTTTGCCGTTTGGTATCAATAATTACAGTGTTTCAATAATCATAAATATAGGTGTCATGCTAATTCGAATCTTAACTCGCAAGTCGTAGATTCTATTATGTGATAAGTTTTCATCGCCTTCGGCCTGTGGCCTCAGCGGGGCCACTGCATACATTGATCGCACGCGCCGCACCCACGCAATACGTGTTCTGCGTTGGCGCGATACGTGACACCGAACGATTCTCGTGATCATGCTTACGACATAATTCGATCCTAATGTTATTTTTTCACCGGTAAGGCAAAAATGCTGACACTTTTAAGATATGGCCTATTTTAATAAAATTCTAAGAATGTTTTAGTCGTGGCGTGTAAATCGACCCTCAATATGACGAAATCGCTGCTACATACAGCAGTGGTTCCGATGTATCGAGCGGAAAATATCAAGTACGTTAGTTGGGTTCTGTACAGAAAATCTAAAAAAAATTGCCTGTAATGTATCGGAAAAATAGCCCGATTGTTTATTTTAATTAGTGCAAAGTGTCGCGAGTACGGAACCCTCGGCAAATAACATCGAAATCGGAAGTGAGATGGAACGAGGAGGAGGCCGACGAGTGTCCTCGTCGTTAGGTATAGACTTATATCATATTTTTAATGTTTATCATACGCAACAGTATTTTAGGGAGGTATAATCTAAATTTAAGTTTGTCTCGAGTTCGTATCACTCATTAATCGCCGTTACGCTATTGACTGTCCATTGTAATGTTAATATATTTTATAATTACGTTATCGGTTGTTTGGGAAGACTGTCGTGTCGCGGGTTGTTTGTGGCTAGGTTTTTTGCGCCAGGTTGGTCGTCGCTTGTGCTCGGTGATGCCGGTCTAATTGTTATCAGTTATCACCACCCGCGGACTGGCAAGATGTTTGTTTTAGACACAATAGTTTCGAAGTACATCATACGATAAACTTGACTGTAAGCGATAACAAAGGAAAGTAAAGGCTTCTGATACAAAACATCTTACCGGTCCGTGACACGCCACATCATCTAGTCTACACGTTTAAATTAAGTAATCACTTCCTTTTATGATCTCAAATTGAATGTGTTAAAAATATAGTAAACATCGGAAGTGCCTCTGTAACGTAAACCGGCTCTCGGATAATACCGTTAAATCGTAACGTATAAACTGCCTTCATAGCGTTTTATATTTTTTTAAAGGTAGAATGTTGGTGTTGGATACGACGCTTGTGAGATGGTGGCGCTGGATGTGTGGCGCACAGGTAGTGAGGGTACCCCTGCATTTATATATTTTCGCCGTTCATTTAGCGTCGATCCGTTTCAACGTCAGAGAAATGATAATAATTGTATATAATATAAGAGATGGTGTCTGCTTGACGCGGGGCGAGTGGCTTGCCTGCTTACTCTATGTTACTACGCTGATGTGAGTAAGGGAACTAGGTGTAAGTTACTAGCTTGTTTCTCGGTGAAGATGTGAAAACCTCTGACCAATTTGCCTTGGGTATTGTGTAGCCTTTTAGAATATCACGATCGAGACGAATCATGTATAGCGATGCAAAATATAGCTTTCAGAATTAATATAATATTTTGTTTTCGTAATTTTTGCGTAATGTTAGTCACTCTATCTCTTATAATGGTGTTTTAACGTTAATTTTTATATTTTATGTGATTGATTAATTAATGTGCTTCAGTTTGTGAGGTAATATGGAAATTGCTGTTCGAAGTGCCGGCAACTTTTGTAGTTTCATTGTCGTAATGAATAAAGTCATAAATACTAATAAACTATTGTTTTATTATTGATTTCACTCTTTATTATTCAGTTTATTAATCCCATATACCATCCTGCTTGATCATCAAGCATAGAAGAATATACTGGTCACGTATGAAACTCCTTCCCTGAAAATGTTCAGAACCAAAGACGAACTTAATGCCGTATGGCATTCTCTACCAGCTAACTATTGGGCCAAACAGCTTAATAGAATTATTATTCAAGAGCTCTCATGCGGCTAATCCAATATCTCAAGCAGACCACAGGTGGAGACACTATACAGGGTGTTAGGTAAATGGGTATATGAGTCGACACAGCCCATGTTAACACAAATCGTATTTTATAAAATTTATTTTGTATGAAAATTAAAATGATGATATCAAATTTCTGACTTCACCATACCATTTATTATGACCATTGACCATGTTAACATGGGCGCTAGTGTCGGCTCATATACCCATTTACCTAACACCCTGTATAGAAGTGGGTGACTGTTGTTGTTATAAAATAAATGCAATAAATAGTAATGTAATGACTAGTTGTGGTACATTTAGTTCTCTAAGTTGTGGTCCCTTACTTAAAACAATACAGATGAATGCGGATTTTACTTCAGTCGTTACCGGACATATTGGTGGGCGTGCGCAGATGAATCATCCGGCGAAAGATCCTGCATTCCCGTATAGGTACCGTACTAGTTCGATGCTTGGTTGGACTGCATGCACTACACCGTTAAATATTACATATTACTCTAGTCAGTCCTTTAAATAAATTTGTTATGGTCATGGCGACTCTTATATGACCAGAGCAGAGAGCTTATTTAAAAAAAAAAAATAAAAAAAAAATATTCTGTGGTATTTTCTGTGGTATTTTCACGTGCTCTGTGGACTCTGTGGTATTTTCTTTGGGGCAACGCAAACATGTCAAAGTGATGTCAATTTCGTGCGCACAGTTCGTGTGTGTGAGTTATTTTGCGTGTGCGATTTTATCAAAGTTTTCATGGTGTTAAATGAAATAATATAATTATTCTAAATAGGCATTAATAGTTTAAAACTCTAGAAAGTTTAGTGTTTTATATATTCAGTTTGGTTTGGTTCGAAGTAACCTATAGGCCGTCGAAATGGAATCCAGCAGAGATGCCAAGCGTAAAAAGGATAAACAAGACGATGATGACTATCACAAGGACAGAAAACATAAAAGGAGGTCTAAATCCAGATCCCCCGCTCGGCATCGCGATAAAGAATCCAGACGTAAGCGAAAAAATTCTAAATCTCGGTCGCCCGAAGTGCCCATGAAACAGGAAAAGACTGCCAATGATTCAAAGGATTCGGAATCTAAACCAGCCATCCCCGAGAGGAAGGCGAAGGAGACCGACATGCTCAACACAAGGACCGGAGGCGCTTACATCCCGCCAGCGCGGCTGCGAATGATGCAGGCACAGATCACTGACAAGTCATCTATTGCGTATCAGCGCCTTGCCTGGGAGGCTCTAAAGAAGTCCATACATGGGCACATCAACAAAATCAACGTCGGAAACATCGGCATCATAATAAAGGAACTATTGAAAGAAAATATTGTTCGCGGGAGAGGTTTGCTGTGTCGTTCTGTAATCCAGGCACAGGCCGCATCCCCTACGTTTACGAACGTATATGCTGCTCTAGTAGCCGCAGTAAACTCGCGATTCCCAAATATTGGGGAGTTGTTATTGAAGAGGTTGGTTATACAGTTCAAAAGAGGTTTCAAGCGGAATGACAAACCAATATGCATTTCTTCAGCTTCATTTATTGCTCATTTAGTTAACCAGAGGGTGGCTCACGAAATCCTAGCTTTAGAATTGTTGACTCTGTTAGTGGAATCTCCGACCGATGATTCTGTGGAAGTGGCGATAGCCTTTCTGAAGGAATGCGGTCAGAAATTGACGGAGGTATCATCTAAAGGTGTGAATGCGATATTTGAGATGTTGAGGAATATTCTGCACGAGGGTCAGCTGGACAAGAGAGTGCAGTACATGATCGAGGTGATGTTCCAAGTGTGGAAGGACGGCTTCAAGGACCACCCGGCGCTGATCGAGGAGTTGGAGCTGGTGCCGGAGGAGGAGCAGTTCACCCATCTGCTGATGTTGGACGATGCCACAGATTCGCAAGATATTTTGAGTAAGTTGATATTGATAATAATTAATTGTTTGTTAGTATTTTAGACATCAATTTGTAATTTCTGATTCAGATTAGCATGTTGTTTTTATCATTGGAATGGTTCAATGTTAACACTGCAGTACACGCGCCCCTTTTTTTACACGAATACACGCGCGGCCTACTCTGGTAAGCCAATTTAAAATCACTGTAAATCAGTTTGTAAGCAATTTATGAATATAATTATTATGTAAATGATAAAAGTGTTTATTATAGTTATTTTGTTAACAAAGTTTCTTTATATAACTATTTGGGATCAAACATTATAAACAGATTTAAAAGTTGTAAATTTTTTGGACCAAAATTGCACTCTGAGACCAATGTTAACAAAAAAAAAATTGACTGAAAAAATATGATTAGTTTTTTATCTGTCATAGTATTTATGACTTTCTACTGCCTGGTACACGGTGTAAATCCGTTTGTTGCAAGTCTTTCATAATTTTTTTGTCGAGTGATTTCGGGCTTTTGAGTAGACCCGCAGTTTTGACGGCCAATTTTAGAAAAGTGCGCAGACTCTAGCGACCCAAGTTTTACTGGCTTACTGACAAATTTAGTAAACGAGGCTTTCCTGGAATGACAGCTCTCTGGCGCAAGTTTTCAAAAAGTTATAGCGTAAAATGTTACCCTGGTCTACTATAGTAGTCCGCGCGTGTACTCTAGTGTTAATAAATAACTAGATATTCATATTGTTATTCTGATACTGACATAATAATTTTATTTACTTTGATTAAGTGTTACGCACAATACAAAAAAAATATTTCTCTACTTTTACTTCCACTAATGCATAGTATTAAACAATTTCAGATGTCTTCAAATTTGATGAGAAGTATGAAGAAAATGAGCAAAAATACAAAACACTGAGCAAGGAGATTCTTGGCTCGGACGCTGAGTCGGGAGAGGAGGATGGCTCCGGGGAGAGCGGCAGCGAGGACTCCGAAGAGGACGAGGCCGAGGACGAACAGAAGCCAGTCACCATCATAGACAATACGGAGACCAATCTCGTCGCCCTGCGGAGAACAATATACCTTACCATCAACTCCAGTTTGGACTTCGAGGAATGTGCTCACAAACTCATGAAAATGCAGCTAAAACCTGGCCAAGAGGTAGAACTGTGTCACATGTTCTTAGATTGCTGTGCCGAGCAACGTACCTATGAAAAGTTTTATGGCCTGCTAGCGCAGAGGTTTTGCAATATCAACCGAATATACATTGGCCCGTTTGAGGAAATCTTTAAAGATTCATATGGCACAGCTCACAGACTGGACACGAACAGACTGAGGAACGTTAGCAAGTTTTTTGCCCATCTTCTCTTTACTGATTCAATAAGTTGGGAAGTCCTCGAGTGTGTCAAGTTGAATGAAGAAGATACGACGAGTTCCAGCCGTATTTACATCAAAATTTTGTTCCAAGAATTGGCAGAGTACATGGGCTTGAAGAAACTGAACGACCGCCTCAAAGACCCGTGAGTTCTGCTTCTCGTTTCGTGTTTAATCTTATTTAAAGTTTGTAATGTTAATGGCTTTTGTTTTTCTTTTTAGGACACTCCAAGAAGCATTTTTGGGTATATTCCCAAGAGACAACCCAAAGAACACAAGATTCTCTATCAACTTCTTCACATCTATTGGTTTGGGAGGACTGACGGATGAATTGCGTGAACACTTGAAACAAATGCCAAAGGTATGTACATAATGTTATAAAGGACTAAAATCTACATGCATTTAAATGCTACCACAGTTTTACATTGTGCTGCATTGTTGTTAAAGTTACCTTGAAAATGAAATATGTAGAGTAGATGATGTGCATCCTAATATTTACCACAAAAAAATACCTTCCATCTATTATCATTCTAAACACATTTACACATACTTCAACTCATCTAGACGCGCGCCGTTGTGTGCGTAAGCTTGTACAGACAGTGACTTCGTGACTGTGTTTACTTAGTCGACCACGGCGGCTGTGGAATTACGGTTTTATTTCAAAACTCACGGGACCGGTTATTTGCGCGGTTACGCAGCCGCCGATCATCGCCCGCAATCGCCGCAGCCGCCGATCATCGCCCGCAATCGCCGCGGGCGCTGGTGCAAATCGCGCCGTGGAGTTCTTAGCCTTTCAAGCACACGCACGATATCTAACATGATACTAGTGATTCCTTCATAATTCAACCTCAATGTAATTTCGTATTTCCCTCTAGAACGTTCCAGCCGCTGTGACGGAGATCAATGTGGACAGCGAGTCGTCCAGCTCCAGCAGCTCCAGCTCCGACTCGTCCAGTGACTCCAGCTCAAGTGGTACGTGGAGCATTTACTGTTGAGCCCATTGACGTATGGTTAATTACCCGGTNTTAACACTGCAGTACACGCGCCCCTTTTTTTACACGAATACACGCGCGGCCTACTCTGGTAAGCCAATTTAAAATCACTGTAAATCAGTTTGTAAGCAATTTATGAATATAATTATTATGTAAATGATAAAAGTGTTTATTATAGTTATTTTGTTAACAAAGTTTCTTTATATAACTATTTGGGATCAAACATTATAAACAGATTTAAAAGTTGTAAATTTTTTGGACCAAAATTGCACTCTGAGACCAATGTTAACAAAAAAAAAATTGACTGAAAAAATATGATTAGTTTTTTATCTGTCATAGTATTTATGACTTTCTACTGCCTGGTACACGGTGTAAATCCGTTTGTTGCAAGTCTTTCATAATTTTTTTGTCGAGTGATTTCGGGCTTTTGAGTAGACCCGCAGTTTTGACGGCCAATTTTAGAAAAGTGCGCAGACTCTAGCGACCCAAGTTTTACTGGCTTACTGACAAATTTAGTAAACGAGGCTTTCCTGGAATGACAGCTCTCTGGCGCAAGTTTTCAAAAAGTTATAGCGTAAAATGTTACCCTGGTCTACTATAGTAGTCCGCGCGTGTACTCTAGTGTTAATAAATAACTAGATATTCATATTGTTATTCTGATACTGACATAATAATTTTATTTACTTTGATTAAGTGTTACGCACAATACAAAAAAAATATTTCTCTACTTTTACTTCCACTAATGCATAGTATTAAACAATTTCAGATGTCTTCAAATTTGATGAGAAGTATGAAGAAAATGAGCAGAAATACAAAACACTGAGCAAGGAGATTCTTGGCTCGGACGCTGAGTCGGGTGAGGAGGATGGCTCCGGAGAGAGCGGCAGCGAGGACTCTGACGAGGACGAGGCCGAGGACGAACAGAAGCCCGTCACCATCATAGACAATACGGAGACCAATCTCGTCGCACTGCGGAGAACAATATACCTCACTATCAACTCCAGTTTGGACTTCGAGGAATGTGCTCACAAACTCATGAAAATGCAGCTGAAACCTGGCCAAGAGGTTGAACTGTGTCACATGTTTTTAGATTGCTGTGCCGAGCAACGTACTTATGAAAAGTTTTATGGGCTTCTAGCGCAGAGGTTTTGCAATATCAACCGAATATACATTGGCCCGTTTGAGGAAATCTTTAAAGATTCGTATGGCACAGCTCACAGACTGGACACAAACAGACTGAGGAATGTTAGCAAGTTTTTTGCCCATCTTCTCTTCACTGATTCAATAAGTTGGGAAGTCCTTGAGTGTGTCAAGTTGAATGAAGAAGATACGACGAGTTCCAGCCGTATTTACATCAAAATTTTGTTCCAAGAATTGGCAGAGTACATGGGCTTGAAGAAACTGAATGACCGCCTCAAAGACCCGTGAGTTCTGCTTCTCGTTTCGTGCTTAATCTTATTTAAAGTTTGTAATGTTAATGGCTTTTGTTTTTCTATTTCAGAACACTCCAAGAAGCATTTTTGGGTATATTCCCAAGAGACAACCCAAAGAACACAAGATTCTCTATCAACTTCTTCACATCTATTGGTTTGGGAGGACTGACGGATGAATTGCGTGAACACTTGAAACAAATGCCAAAGGTATGTAAATAAAATCAAATAAATAAATAAAAATACCTTACGTCTACATATTTAATTCCAAACATTCTAAAATATACTTCAAGTCATCTAGACGCGCGGCGCTCTGTGCGTAAGCTTGTACAGATACATTGCGGCCGTGGTAGTCACATAAACAAAGCTGCATACTTATAAGCACATACATAACTCCGCGTGGTACCAAAATCATACGATGTCTAACACGATACTAAAGTCTGTTCGCCGAGAGTTGATAAAAAAAATTAAATATCAGAGGTTCTAAACTCATTATAAATTGCGGCCCGCTAATTATTTTTGTCGATATAATGAAAAAGTTGGTAGATTATCATTATTATCTCTTTTAAATTTACGGGAATTATTCCGGTTAGGGATACGGATCAAACACGTGGCGTCCATGTGTTGGATAAAAAGTATTTCATTATTATCAAGTGGCTTATAGTGTATCCCAATGTTGGGCAAAGCCCTACCCACTGTCATACCATTCATTTCGGTCTTATGTAAAACAAATCTATTCCGTTTCACATTGCGGCCCGCCGGCCGGGGCGCTTGACGACAGCTGCGTGGCTCGTACCATGGTACTCAGTGCGCGTTATGACAAACGACGCCCGCCATACAGAATGCGATAATTAAGCGACAGTCGCTATTGCAAGACATTTCATAATATTTATCAACTCTCGGCGAACAGACTTTAGTGATTCCTCATTCATTATTAAATCTCAATGTAATTTCGTATTTCCCTCCAGAACGTCCCAGCCGCCGTGACGGAGATCAACGTGGACAGCGAGTCGTCTAGCTCCAGCAGCTCCAGCTCCGACTCGTCCAGTGACTCCAGTTCAAGTGGTACGTGGACCATTTACTGTTGAGCCCATTGACGTATCTAGACCAGCGGTTCCCGAATGGTGGTCCGCGGAACCCTGGGGTTCCGTGGAAAGGCCGCAAGGGTTCCGTAAAAAATATTATCCCACGTTTCGTGACCGACGTTGTTCGCTCGCACCTACTTGTTTACGCACAAGGGAGGGGCAGGGCGTGCGGGCGGAGTAGTACGGGGGTTCCGCTAGGAAAAGTATAATCAATTAGGGTTCCTTGGCAAAAAAAATTGGGAAACCCTGATCTAGGGCAATTACCTACCCTGGAATTTTTTCCAGGGTAGGCTTGTACCTTAAGTACATATGTGCACTTTTATGTGTGTCTTATCTTTGTACAAATAAATTTTACAAGCAAGTTTACTTTCAATTATATTAGCTAAAAAGCTGGCAAATTAATAACCAAAGTATTTACACATTTACAGAATCAGAAGATGAGGGAAACAAGCAAAGGAAAAAGAAAAAAGACAAGAACAAAGGAAAATCATCCAAAACAGATGAAGATTCGGAGCCTAAGAAAAACGATACCGAACGGTGGGGCCACGACGGGTTTTATGACACCTACGGCAAAGACGCGCGCCGCACTGAAAGCAGGCCCGAGAGAAATGAACGAGACAGCGACAACTTCCTCAAACCGCGGGACGTGCCGAGGCGGAGGGAAGACGACAGAAGCAGGAATGATCGTAGAAACGATGACAGGAGAAAGCCAGACGAAAGAAATGGTCACGATAGCTATGATAATAGGAGGAATCGCGACGACAATAGACGCGATTCGAATCGCAGGCAAAATGATGAGCGCGATGAAGAAGCTAGAAGTAGAAATCGTGAAGATGGTGACAGAAAGCGTGACAGGGACTCAGACCGGAGACAAAGTGATGAAGAATACGCTAGGAGAAGCCGTGATGATGCCAGTGACAGACGACGTGACAAAGATACTGAACGTAGACAAAATTCTGATGAAGAAGTGAGCCGAGGAAATCGGGATGACAGAACACGTGATAGAGACTCTGACCGTAGACAGAGAGATGAGCGTAGTGAGGAAAGTAGTAGAAAAAATCGAGAGGATGAAAATGACAGGCGACGCGACAAAAATTATGATCGTGACGAAGAAGTTAAAAGAAATCGCGAGAACGCAAGCGACAGGAGACGCGATAAAGACTCTGACCGCAGGCAAATTGTCGAGCGCGAAGATGTGAATAGTAAAAGGAATCGAGAAGATGGAAGCGATAGGCGACGTGACAAGGACACAGACCGCCGTAAAAATCATGATCGTGATGAAGACAGTAGTAGAAAGTATAGAGAAGATAGTGGAGAAATGCGTCATGATAGGGACCGTGATGATGCGAGTGACAGGAAGCGTGACAGAGATAATGATCGTAGGGAAGTTGATGAAAGCGACAGAAGCCGAGAAAGTAGGAAGGATAAAAGACGTGACAGAGATCTAGAACGCGAAGAATACGATGATAAAAACGTAGGACGAAGATACTATGAAAGTCGACATGATGACGAAAGTCTCGAATATAAAAAAGATAGGAGAAATAAGAAAGATTCTGGTTACGAAGAGCAGTCCAGAGATAAAAATGAAAAAATAAAGTCAGAAGATGACAGGTCGAGTGACGATTCTGGAGAAAAGAGACATAAAAAGCGAAAGCAAGCTGACAGTGACGAGGAGAAAACTAAGAAAAAGAAAGATAGCCGAAAGAAAGAATCAAAAAGTAAAAAGAAACACAAGAAGAAAGTAGAATCTAGTTCAAGTGAGGATGATTCTTCAAGCAGCGACGATTCATCAAGTGAAGAAGAATCTGTTAGTAGGAAAAAAGGCAAGAGCAAGGTTCGCCCGGAGGATAGCGATAAAGAGTTGGCAGATGGATGGGATATAAGAAGAAGAGCTAGCATACAAAGGGAGCTTGGCAGTCGTTACTGGGCCAAGTAACTGAACTTTGTACAAAATACTTGTGGTTTATAAGCCCTGCGGTAAAAATTACGTTAATAAAAATAAAATAAAAATAACGTTAAAGTACTATCCACTACTGTGGTGACTGAGTTTCTTCCGCCACTTCCTCTCAGTACCAGCCCATATTATGTTATTCCGAAGTTGTGGTAGGCTTTGGGACGTGCGTAGGCGCCATGGAATGGGCCTAAGTACATCATCACAGTGTCAACAAAATTAACGACACGTTTTTTATCGCAGAGCTATAAATACATATTTTTCACTAATACCTAGAGCGGTATGTGAACAAATCACTACACAACTTTGTTTTAGCCTAGGCGCAGACCACCGATTTTAGTTGGCGGATAGTTAGGTCGGGCTGTTGATCAGTATGAACATGTATGGAAGTGCGAACACTACACCGATTATCGGGCGATTCTTCATACAAATTGGAAATTGATTCAACTATTGGCCAACTAAAAGACTGTGGTCTGCGCCTAGGCTTACTTGAATATGCTTTGTAAACTGTGTGTAAATATTGATTCATTTCTAGTTAAGGATTTATTGAATAAATGTAATGAATGATTCAAAACCACTTGCTTCAATGTTTCTAATTTTATACAACCCCCTGATAGTAGTTATCTAATGAATAATTTTAGTATTTTTTTTATAATTTAATAAAATAAACCCATAGAGGAATAAAATTGTCGTTAATTCCTCTATGAATAAACCAGAAACGAAAATGATAAATTCATCCAAATAGTTTTAATTAATAAACTCCTGTCTCTTGCCTCTTGTTTGTTCTGTTATAATGTCAATTTGATTACATTTGTCATTGAGGATTGCAAAATTATACCAAAATATTTCCCATTATTTGTGTTTTAAATATTATTAGTATTGTATAAAACGTACATTATAAGTACCAAAATGGAGCCAACACTAGATTCTAAAACCAGCACGGAATCCAGTAAAATGGATCCCGTTCAAATAAAGGCGGCTTCCGCGCCCATCGTCCCTCTGAAGAGTGACGAGACGAAGCTAAAGGTGCAGCTGTCAGCGCCATCTTACCTAAACTCCTTGCGGGAGAACGACGCGCCTCCGTTTAGAAGGCCCGGGCGGGAGGCGCGGCCTCGCCTGCTGATCGGGACTATTATGAACCAGGAAAAAGCCATCGAGATGATTGCGGCTGCTGATTCTGATAAGGAGAATGGGTTGAGGCGGTTTCTGGGTGAGTTTTAGCTCTTGTCCATTTAACAGTTCTGTGGGTTTGGTCAAAAACTGATGATACAAAAGCCTATAATCTGATCTCAAATTATCCAAGTGCCTGCTGCCTGTACACCATACCATGTAGTTGTAAGTAGTTCATCGAGAAGAAGACTATACCTAACCCAGGGTTGTGGACTGTGGTGACCTCAGGTGTTACAACACACGCGATAGAAATATAAGCAGTTACTTACTTAGTTATTTTTTTGACCTATAAACGACAAACAAAAGGCCCAGTTTCACCAGGGTGGAGCAGACCGGAGAAGTTTTTAATAACCAGGCTTCACTTGGTGTAAACCGGGTCGTAACAAATTCATATTCTAGGTTTGTTTTAACACAGGATTTCGTCTTCTCAGCCTACTTCTTAGTCGAAAAGAAGGTGACGCAGAACTTCAACATGTCCGAGAAGTCGTTCCTTATCGGGTTCCTTTCTGAAACGATCGAGTACGCTGCGCGCCGCGACTTCAGCGCCTTCAAGCTGGCCGTACTCATTACGCTGTATCTCCACACGCACCTTTACTTCAAGTGGTACTACTGGCAGGCGCCGGCCTCCGTCTGGTTTTACTTCAAGGAGATCATGATACGGCATACGATTGAGGTGATTATCTAGGGTCTGTTTCAAATGATAAATAAGGTACAACAATCCGGTGGAGTTAACTGCGCATCTGGCAGCCGTGACGTCACGTCTGGTTCGGACGAGGCGAACGCGGGGAAGTGTGAGCACGTGTGTGTGAGGGCGAGTCGCGCTCCAGCGAGGTGCGCAGTTAACTTGATCGGGTTGTGAGTAGATTGAAAATCATTTTGCCCTGGGTTAATACAAAATAATGTTATGATGACAAATTCTTAAAACTGATAATAGGCAGTGCAAAGGGGTTATTACTTCTACTGAGTCAGGTCCATATGGCTTGGGAAAGATTATATTTTCCTATGAATTAACTTTAGTAGTAGGCTGTCTGGAAGAGATCGCTTTATAGCGATAAGACCGCCTAAATAGTGCTGTATCTTTTGTATATATTTCTTTTCTTGTCTTGCGTGGTGTACAATAGTGTTATTCTAGTATTTTTATTTTCTTTATTATCTATCTACCTATCTATACACGTGTTATATTCCAGGACTCGCCAGACGGGCAGGAAGTGTTTGAGCCAGACGAGTGCTACGACATCATCAGCCACTTCCACACCGTGTACATCGCCAACCTGCCGCTGGTCCACATCCTGACCTTCGGCGCCCACCGGCTCAAGTTCTTGTGGCCGTTCAAGCCAAAGTGACGCTTATATCTGCCTTGTTTATACCTATCTAAAATATATTTTGTTGAGTACCGTCATGAACCATTTCTTTTACTATCTATCTACCTACCTGTATGTATACTTTACAGTTACATGACTGCAGCCTTGTTGCTTTTAAATATCGATGCATCATGGAGCCGTAATAGCAGACTCATGTGTGACTTTGAAATATAGGTAAATTATTGCTAAGTAAGATGTACATATTTTTAAATGCCAAGTGCTTAGCAAGTGTAAAGTTGGGACTAGATATCAGTTTGTGAGGACCTTACCTTTCGTCCACTAAGATCCCCTAACCTGTTTTTACTTTTAGAAATAAAGAAAGGATAATAGATTTTAGGTAAGAAATAACAAAACTATGTAGGTATTTATCAAAAACATTTAATATCATACAACATTCTTAATCTGTTCTTTGAAATGCTTAGGTACCTTCTTTTTCTTTCTTTTCCTCACTTTGCCTTCACTGACTCCATCCTGTTTCTTGGCTTCGTTTCTTAGACCAGGTTTCTTTTTCTTCTTTTTGCAAGACAAGGGGTTGGGGTTGTGGGGTTTTTTCTTTCTTATGGACACTTTAACTTCTTCCACTTTTTCTTCAACGCCAAGGGCCTTTTTCATGGTTTTCAGTGTTTCATTTTGAGTCTCGCTTATGAATACACTCGGTGCCTCTAAAGTTTGTCCTGCTTTATCGTAGCTAGCCCTGGATGGTTTATCTAATGTCGGTGACTTGTTGTGTAGGTACAGCAGTGGGACACCAGCCCTTGTTCTAAATTTCTCCTGTAAATCCCTATCTTGGGACGCCAATATGTAATGCTTGTCATTTTTCTTTCCGATCATGCTCATAATGCAGTTGGAGCCAGTGATAGGCTCTTTGTGGCCGCACTCGTGGAGTCCGAACTGTTTCAGGATGGTGAGAGCGCCGTGGGTCTTCTTGGCAATCTTTTCCGTCTCTATTATTATGCATCTCGTAGTAAGCAACTTCACTTGTCCGTTTAAATACTTAGGCAGTTGGTCTCTTATATTTATTTGTTCCTGGAAATAGAACAAAATTTTTAGTGAATTATAAATGGATATGTTTGATACCATTATTAGAGATTCAAGTAGAGAGAATTAGGGACCACAAAAACCAGGGTATTCAATTCTTAGAACTGAATGGGGATTTTTTGAAAAAAGGTCAGTCTCCCATTGATTGGGAAGGTCAATGGGGACAGGAATAACTTAAAAAATAATAAAGACACTAGATAAGGGGTAAATGTAAATTAAAAAAAAACTAACAGCATGCATTGTCTCTAGACACTTAACCTAAGTTGCACCACCTTACTTTATCAGCAGATTGTTTTTGTATTGAGACACTTGAAGTTTGTTACAGTTAATGTAATATGGTGTAACCCAGTCTTACAGGCAACCTTCAAATTCCACTGTCCACGGGTTTCTCTAAATACTCGACATTGGCAAAACCAGTGTGCTTCAAATTCGCACCATTGAAGCCATCAGACAGAATAATAATAAGACCCTTATTAAACTATAATATGCAGGAGAATACCTAGTTTTGATTCTGAGCGGGCTCGGGGAAGTTCTCCTGCCAGCGCATGCTCTGCTCCTTGAGCGTGAGGTGTGAGTCGGCGCTGTCGGCCTCGGGGTCGGGCAGCTCCTCCAGCGGCACCTGGATGTCTTCGTGCGGCAGCTGCTCTAGCCGCCACTCCTCGTCTACAATGTCCGCCAAGCGCCCCATGCGAATGTATTTACTGTCCATCCTGTAGAGGAAGGACTGCGTTTACTATTTGATATCTTTTAGATGCCCGATTGGCTGGTTTTATTGTTAGAGAACTTTTTGACCGTCAGCCCGCGGGGGCTGATTATTACGACGTGATATAAATTGACGATTGTAGCCAGGCTTCTCTGACCCAACTGTTTTCAATACTAGGTATTCTCCTGCATGTTTTGATGTAGGCAATTTTTTATAATAGACGCTAACTCACTTTGAATGCAGCGAAACAGAATGTGCCATCAATAAGAACTTGATAAGGCTGGTGGAAACCAAAGTTGTTGTAGTAAAATTTGAGATACTTTTGAACCTTCTTGTATCTTGTAATCTTCATTTTATTATTGACTACGAACCTGTTTAATTGAAGCTTAGATTATTTACTAAATTAAACTAAAATTCGCACTATTATAAAATAATGCAACGTGCAAAACGCACAGTATTTTTTGTGACAGTGACACTGACAGTGACAGAACTGACAGAAAACAACTGAGTGACAGCTGCGTATTTTAATTTACGGCTTCGGACCCCGTCCATACGCCACAGCAGCTGAGATGTTAGAGGATTTTTATTACTAAAATAGTTCACACGTCAGATTTCTGAACGTCCAAGAACTGTCAATGTGACTTTTGTCATGTTGGAAGTCTGAAAATTTCATCGAAGTTTGTTTCACGATTCCTGTTGTTTTATTCACTTTACGAGTGAATACATTTATTTCGTTTATGTAGACGGACTCGTGTGTCATAATTCAGCGCCCAGATAATGTTATGATAATAGTTTGAGTGTGTAGAATAAGTGAAATTGATGTTGTAAGTCGAAATGGCTCGTAATAGATGTGACGGGTTGTTAGCTCGAGTCGATTTTCCTCTGTATACTCTTCAAACGCTAACAAATCGGCATGTGATTGTGGCAGGAGGCGGAGGAGCCTCAAACACAGGCGTCGCCAATGGATTCGTGAGTATTTACTGATATGTTTTGTCAGAAATCGTATTGGAAAGAAACTAACCAGTTTACGTGTCAATGGGTAAAATTGAAGCAAGACCAATTAATTTTGAGCATATCGAGGCCTTATTAAAGTCTGTGTAATTGTTGCTTGCAGGAGATATTTGAATTGTCACATAATGGTACAAGATTTGTGGCCGAGGAGGTGATGAGGCATGAAACAGGCCCTAATGTTGTGATGACCTGCGCGGTGCGGAGCATACAGAACAGGACGTACCTGACAGCAGGCCAGGAGAGCCACTGCCAGCTGTACAAGGTCAACATCCGCATGGTGGACGCGGCTGAGATGCGCAGAGGCAGCTTCCGCGCTGAGAATGGTCTTGTCCGGAGAAGGCGGCGGACGGTGTCAGAAAATGACAACATTTCCAAAAAAGATAGCAATAGCAACACAACAGAAAAGAGAATATCGTTTGAAATTAGGCCAAGTGATAGTGTGCAAACAGATTTTGGGTAAGTTTCTTAATTGACCTTGACTTATGGAATGACCTTTTTGCAGTGAATATGTTTAAAATTTTAAATAACTTAATGTATTGAAAAACATCCTAACACATATAAAAATAATCTCAATATTCAATAAGTTCATCCATAATGTTTCAAGAGGTGGTATGGTTTATTCTTTACACTAATAATATGGCACATTCTAGGTCTTTGTTTAAATTAAGCATAAGACCCACTTATTTGGCTATCTTTAGTCACAACACTATATTCCATGTTTGTTGTTGTAGCAGTTATGTGGGTAATTAATACATAATATGTATAGTAATGATGATACTTTTTTATTGTTTATTATCACTCTTATTGTGATTAGTTTTGTTTTGAAAACAATTCAACAATGTTTATATTAGCATACCTAGATCATTACACTAATACCTTTGAATATGACAGAATGATAATTATAAAACATTTGAATTTGACTAGAACCTTAGTTACCAGTACATTAAAAAAATGCTTATTCAGCAACATACCTATTTGTGAAGAAAACCCCAACTTTCAATCTCCCATTCAGCTAACATAAGAAAATTAGCAACTGCTATAGAAAACCCCAACTTTCAATCTCCCATTCAGCTAACATAAGAAAATTAGCAACTGCTACAATTTCAGCAATTTAATTTTCCAGAAAATATGTTGATAAAAAGTGTGTTAAAAAGATCATTGTTTTCATACATGACTAAGTGGCATTCACAAACATGCAACAGTGCAGTTTTTGCTGCCATATTCATGAATTTATTAACAAGCCATACAAAAGAGAAAATATCATTTATGGGCTCTCTATAATTTAGATTTAGCTACTGTCATGTGATGCATGCTATAAAATTATAAACAAGCCAAACAAATCATACATTCTTTGGCTTTTTCTACTTGAAACAATAAGTTCTATGTTAATTGTTTTTGTTTTGAGTGGCACCATCTGGCAGCATGCAATATGTAAACACTTTGTTCCATAATAAATTAATTAATATAAGTTATCAAAGATTGACTAAAACTGGGAATTGGTATACAGTGGGAAAAGATATTTATTTATTGAGGGATTACAAGAGTATCGCGTTATTGGGACATATTTCCGTAAAGTTCAGATTGCAATTCAATTAGCTACACGTCACTTCGCCTATCGCACTGCGCTATGGCTCCCGTTCTAATGCGACACACGCCATACTAAATTACTACAAGAATATTTTGGCGTGGCATACTACGCCGCGCCGAGCAATGCAGTGTAACGCAGCGCTGCACAAATGTGGCCCATCCTTTACAATGCACTACACTATGACAGTGTCGCTGCATGTTTATTTTGTATGCAGACATGTCACATTAGGTACGTTTCATATCGCCCAGCCCCTATGAGGCCCGGTTTCCACTTGAATGAAATCTGATTAGTTATTCAAAATATTTCTCCGCTCTGCTCCGCCTTGGTAGAAACCAGGACTGAAGGAGCTGTTAGGTCCAGTTTACACCAAAGATCGAAAGTGAAGAGAAGAGAGATATAAGTTTGAATAAGTAATCAGTAATTTCCACATCACCTCTCCACTCAGATTCGGTTCGGTTTGATTGTTTATCCAAACACATGCCTCTCCGCTTTGGTGGAAACCAGGCCCTACTCTGTCTCTAAGTATATCTTACNTGCAACAGTATGGAGTTTTTGCTGCCATATTCATGAATTTATTAACAAGCCATACAAAAGAGAAAATATCAATATTTATGGGCTCTCTATAATCTAGATTTAGCTACTAACATGTGATGCATGCTATAAAATTATAAACAAGCCAAAAAAATCATACATTCTTTGGGTTTTTCTACTTGCAACATTAAGTTCTATGTAAATTGTTTTTTGTTTATTTGGGTGGCTCCATCTGGCAGTATGCAATATGTAAACACTTTTCATTTCATTAACAAATTAATTAATATAAGTTATCAGAGTTTAACTAAAACCGGGGCTTGGTATACAGTGGTCAAAAATATAGGGTTTAAATAAATGGGTATCGCGTTATTGGGACATATTTCCGTAAAGTTGCAATTCAATTAGCTACACGTCACTTCGCCTATCGCACTGCGCTGTGGCTCCTGTTCTAATGCGATACACGCCATACTAAATTACTACAAGAATATTTTGACGCCTTATGCCACGCCGCGCCGTGCAGTGCGATTTAAAGGCCCAAGTTTTTACCAAGTTTCTACCAAGGTGGAGCCGAGCAGAGAATTGTTTTGAATAACAAATCAGATTTCATTATTTCCACATCTCTTCTGCGCTCCGCGCCGCCGCCGTTATCAAATTCTATAGAAAAATTCGTCCGCCCGACACATCTCAAGGTGGAGAAATCCTTGGTGGAAACCGGGCCTTAGAGTAGGCGCACACCGTTGATTTTTCGTCGGCCGATAGTTTAGTCGGGCATGGGCATTTATGGGAGTGCGCACACTACGCCGATTTGATTTGGCCGATTCTTCATACATTTTAAAATCGGGCACAACTATCGGCCAACTAAAAATCAACGGTGTGCGCATACTCTTACGCAGCACTGCACAAATATGGCCCAGCCTTTTTAATGCACTACACCATAGCAATATCGCTTCACGTTTAATTTTATATGCAGACATGTCTCATTACGTTTCACATCGCCCAGTCCCTATGAAGGAGTTGTTTTCAAACACATCTCATCTTTCATCTTCTTATTCCACTCGCTTTGGTGGAAACCAAGCCCTACAATGTAGTGTAAAGCTTGGGCCAAACCACCACGACATCTGATCGCCATCGCAATCGCGCACGCAGGCTTTCACGCGTTGGTTTGGCCGAACCTTAAGGCTTGATTTCCTCTTACGCTGACGTCGGTCGCGTACATCGGTCGAGCGTATGAATAAACACAATGTTATATGAAGCACCGCACTGCAACGCCGTCGTCAGCGGCAGATGATTACATAGAACTAGTGTGTAATCGTGCGCGCCGCTGACGTCGGTCACCGATGTCAGCCTAAAAGGAAATCAAGCCTAAGTATATCTGATGTACGGGTTGCAGAGACGATCCGCTGCAGCGGGTGGTGCGCATCAGCCACGACGGCAAGCTGATGGCCACGGGCGGCATCGACGGCAAGGTCCGCGTCTGGGCCTTCCCCAAGATGGAGCTGCTCTATGTGCTGGAGGGACACACTAAAGAGGTATCTTATCTTATCTTATTTAGGGCCGCGCATGGGCGTAGTGCACGTCGACTCATTGGGATCTTTTGTGCTTCCCTATACCTTTATCCCCCCTCATCCGCAAAGATCCTATCCATATAGTGAATCAAGTGCTTGGGTGAGAAGGACCTATATTCTTCTGGTGTCGGATAAGCCGACCCCAGGAGACCTATTCTAGTTCTAGCTAGCGCGTCGAATTCGCACAGTAGGTGTTTCATGGACTCCGCATGTTCTCCACATGCTCGACAGCTGTCATCCGTAGTTAGGCCCATTTAAGAGGTAACTTAGACCATAACAGTTTGTAACCAGTGCCAGATTAAGGCTGCGTTTCCACCCAGGATGTGCGACGAAGAGGACGAGCTCGCCTCGGTAGATGAAGCGATTGTATTGGTTCTTTACAAGCACATCCCTCGCTACGCATCCTCGCACATCTCTGGTGGAAACAGCCTAAGGCCAGTAACTTAGTATGTCTTTGAATTGTTTGAAAATTGAAATGCTAACAACTTTGGCGGGTTTTAGATTCGCGGAAAATAGTTTTAATTTCTTTGTTGCTCTTTTTGGAGACCCTAACACGTGATGCCCTAAGCAATCGCTTAATTTGCTTATGAGTTAATCCGGCACTGGTTGTTACGAGGCACGAGCCTGCTATTCCACAAGTAACATTATTATTTAGCGTCGTGTATCCCCTAGGCTAGGTTTATTTGAATGTGCGTACGTCATCTTATCGTGGCATTTCTGTGGTGTGTACGCGCGTTACATGGTTTTCTTTTAATAAATTTCGTTGCGATTCCCTGATCACTTCTGCCTTCACTTGGTATAGAAGAATCCTGAAGCTTATAGGTCGTTCGTTCGTTCGATTGTTTCGTTTCAGCCGAAAGACGTCCACTGCTGGACAAAGGCCTCCCCCAAGGATAGCTTATAACTCAGTGGCATTAAATTTCGCAGACAACTGCAAAATTAAATGGCTTTAACAACCAATATTATTCTGTAAAAATACTATAATAAATACAGTCAGACGCAGTATCAAGGCTATCAACCTGTTACTGAAATATTATAGAAAACAAGTGTATTTCGCCCGCGTGATATCATATCACGCGTCTATCGCTTCGTGAATGCTAGTGACATTCCAAAGTATACACAGCATAAAACAGTTTGGCAGCCATAACAAATCACGCAAACTGTTTAAAATAATAATGCAGGTAGTTTTAATTTTCATCAAAATCGGACCTTGAGACGACTCGATTTATTAGTTTTCGCTACATCATCGCACTCGCACATTAATTCCATTCCTTTTATAAAACACGTTTCTTGTAATGTAGGTAGGTATTCAACTTTTTTTATTGCCTATTTGTTGTTATATGGTGTCTCGTAGTTGCACGAAGTAAATTCAAATGTCTTTCTATTCCCTATATGGTTCATAAAATGCAATCTTGTGACGGATAAACAGACAGAGGTGCTTTAGTTATAGGGTCCCGTAGAAACACGGAACACTTTTAAAAAACTTGTGTCAAGGGAGGCATTTGCTGGCTGAAAAAAAATGACGATCGCTAAGCGGTAAGGGCTGTCACTGCTAAAACTATTTATTTATCTAATAATAATATAAAGATTTAGTTTTTATACATTTGATTGTTTATTGCTGAAGTAATATTTACATTTCAATTTCCTATTTTCCTATAACTACTGCCTGTTCCTACCTATACTGATCCTAGCCCTAAATTCCGAAATTCCGTTTTTTACTGATCCGTTTCCCTACCTTGACATTGGCAAATGCGCAAGCCGCGCGAGCCATTATAAAAAAAAGTGAAAAGGGCTGTCACTGCTAAAAAAGTGAATAAAACACGTCACTATTGAAGTTAGCAACCGTGTCCTCGCCGAAAACTCCCGTAGCCATCTTTATTTTGCTTACAAACGCTTCCAAGTGCTTTTTTCTGACAAATGCACCCAATGTTTTTTGCAAATAAATAAGTAAACCTTTAATTTGTCTATGATTCATATTTATTCATATATTTGTCAGCTGGACGATTTAGACTTCAGCCCGTGCGACACCGCGCTGGTGTCCATCGCCAAGGACGGGCTGGCCAACGTGTGGGCCACGGGGGCCCCGGCGGCGGGGGCCCCGGGGGCCCCGAGGGCCCCGCTGCTGCAGCTCACGTGCACGCCGCCCAACGGGACCAAGTACCTCTTCCGGAGGTGTAGGTGAGTTTAGCGAATATTTTGTTGTTTTTTTTACAGAATAGCGATTCTGCAGGTCCAGGAATCCTAGGATGCGCGCTGCGATAAGCTTTTAGCGCGACATTTTTTCGATTTTACGCCATAGGCCCATACGTTTGTCATTTGTCAAAACATCGATAAGATTTTATCACGGCGCGCATCCTAGAAGGATTGGGAGACGCATCGTGGAAGAAGAAATCTGGTAGGTTGATGATAAAAGTGACGGGACTATGCAAGATAGACGTGAAAGCTGTGACTTCCTGTGAATTATATGTATCCCAACAATTTCTTGAGTGAAGACCAGGGGGTCAAAGTTCCATGCTTAGAAAAGTCCTATATCCAGCACGCAACTGAACTTAAACATGCAACGCAACGCGCTTAATTTGCTGTATGGTTGTTGAAATAATATTGTTTTTAGAATAGAATAGAATAGAATATTGTTTATTTGGCACAATACACAATACAAAATATAGGCAGAATACAAAATAAAACAAACATACAATATAGAACTAAAAATAAACCTTATCCCAATTAAAATAAAGAGTGCCCTGTGCCAAAAAGGTCCCTGGCTCAGCATTAGTCGTGACATTAAAGGTGCCACGACACTGATTTTCAGCAAGGACCTTTGGGGCACTGGGGTCGCCGTAAAAATTAAAAACAAACACACAGATTACCTATCACAGAAATACAGACAATAAAAATCATGAAACAATTAATTATAAAAAAAAAAGTTTCTCGATTGCGGTGATTGTGGTTAACATTGAAGAGGGTAGGGATATTTTTTCCTATTAACAAAACTCAGACGCGTTCCGTCTTCCCCAGGTTCGGATTAATAGAAGACAAGCCGAACGAATACCGAATGTTCACGATCGCGAACCCGCTCACGCGCTCGGGCAAGCAGAAGGGCCTGCTGCAGCTGTGGACGCGCTCGGGCTCGCTGCGCCGCGCGGCGTGCGCGCCCGAGTCGCTCTCGGCGCTCGCCGTGCGCGACGACGGCCGGTTCGTCGGCGTCGGCACCATGTTCAGCGGCTCCGTCGACATCTACGTCGCCTTCAGTCTGCAGGTGAGTCGTTGAGACGTGTTTTTGTATGTTTTTGGTTACAGGTACGAACTTGATTCACTAGTCAACTGACGTATTTTTTGTACGTTTTTCAATTAGAGTGCTTTAACATTTAGGCGACTTTAGCAACGCGACAAATGCGCCACAGACGCGCTGCGGATAATTTCATACTATGTGACAGCGGATGCATGCCTTCACATCATAAAAACGCCGCTGTCGCGCTTCTCACGCCCTAATGTGAAAGCAGCCTTACTGAATTATACGAAATACCGCTCACTGATTGATCTCGAAATCTCAGAAACTATAACATCTACAAACTTAAAATTTGGCAGGTAAGTTACTTAAAAGGTGTATACGTCCACTAATAACGGATTTTACGAAACTCCACCCCTAGGGGGTAAAAAGGACTAATATTTTTAAAAAGGATACAAATTATTTAAAAAGGATACAAATTACAGTGTTTTGAACTCTGTTGAGAACAATATAATTGCAAATTACGGGCTAGGAAAGAGCGGCTTCCGTGTTCTACCCAAAGACATCCACTTTTGAACAAAAGGGTCCCCGTTTGGCACGCAAAGAAGCTAGCTAGGACAAAGCCCTCCCCTAAGAGTGTCGCGGGTACCGCACGGTCAGCATCGCGAGCCCGCGCCGCGCTCGGGCAGCAGAAGGGCCTGCTGCAGCTGTGGACGCGCTCGGGCTCGCTGCGCCGCGCGGCGTGCGCGCCCGAGTCGCTCTCGGCGCTCGCCGTGCGCGACGACGGCCGGTTCGTCGGCGTCGGCACCATGTTCAGCGGCTCCGTCGACATCTACGTCGCCTTCAGTCTGCAGGTGAGGCGTTGAGACGTGTTTTTGTACGTTTTTGTTTACAGGTACGAACTTGATTCTCTTGTCAATTGACGAATTTGGCGACAGCTCTGACTGCTACAAGAAGCTCCTGTGTCGCCATCTAGCGCACCACACGCATATTTTTTCTTCTTTCTATAGCGAATATTTCTATACAACGACGCGACGGGTGATGACAACGCGCGCTTACGTCACTCGCTACTCGCTCGTGAATCCTTTGTAGATTAAACTCGCCGCGCGTGTTTTGTTTTCGTATAATCTGGCAGGTAGGTTTCTTATAGGGTGTAGGTTTCTTATAGGCGTCCACTAAGAACGGATTTTACGAAACTCCAACCCTAAGGGGGCAAAAAGGCGGGTGGCCGCTGGTACTTAAATACAAAAGACACAAAGTTACAAAGTAGATGGGAACAGTATTTTTGACCCAGTTGGGCACAAACGCAAATTAGGTGCTAAGCGCGCTCTACACTCGCGCGCGATTCTTGCTGTGAATTCACGCCGCGATTCGCGCCGTGCACTTCGCGTTTATACAGGGTGGAAACGATAAGTGATCTCACTCGATTATTTCTAAACTATACAAGATATCAATAAACTAGTTACTGATCCTGAAAGTGTTTTATGAGCTCTATCAAACGGTATTAATAATAGGTTACAGAATAAACTGGATCTAACCGAAAATTCAATGTTTCCAGCTTCCATACATTTGGTAAAGTCACATTATTTTAAAAACTACACATGATATCGTAAAACTGATTAATGATTCTAAAAGTGCTTTACAAGCTCTATCCAATGGTATCAATAATAGGTTACATAATAAACTGGATCTATCCAAAAATTCTATGTTTCTTTCTTCCATACATTTAGTACTACCACAGTCATGACACTCATCTCTTGACAATATTATAGCAAGTAAAGCCTAAAACCAATGTTTTGCGTGAATAATTTTAAATAAGAATACAATTTACGAGTTTATTTTAAGAGTTTATTATTAAATAAAAAAAAATTACACTTCTAATATTGTGTGGCTGGCATACATTTAGTATGGAAGCTGGAAACATTGAATTTTCAGAAAGATCCAGTTTATTCTGTACCCTATTATTGGTACCGTTTGAAAGAGCTCATGAAGCACTTTCAGGATCAGTTACCAGTTTTTCAATATCTTGTATAGTTTAGAAATAATCGAGTGAGATCACTTAACGTTTCCACCCTGTATGTGTCTCTCCACACTCGCGAAACCTCGCAGTCTCGTTCGCGGCCTCAATGGATGACGACGTGATTGTTGCTGCGGTGACGCTCTGTGCTATATCGTATTACAATTACCTATGTATTAAAAATAAGACTCAAATAAAAAATGTTTAATGGGTTTATACAGGGTGTTTGGCGCATCGTGTGCCAAAATGATTTGGCGGATAGAATGGGTCATTTCCTATATTTTCAGCCCCCATAACACGTTCCATGCCAGGCGGCTACTTTTATATACATTTTTTAGTAATTTCACCAAAATACCCAAATCGCATCATTTAATTTCGATTAAAAAAAAAACTACTAGGCGTAGCCTCAAAGTAAATGTTTTGTTTTTACGTGCATTGATGTAGGGTTGCATCNTAAGCTTTGCTTTTTTATATTTTATATGTATAACATTTTTATATTTCATATTTGTTGAAATTATGGTATTTTGTATATTATGAAAGGTGATATTTATGGCATTGGTTTAGATGCCAATAAATGTTATGCCTAGAAATCGTTATTAAAAAAACAAGAATACAAAAAAAATATATACTAAAATATTATTATAATAAAAGTGGTTATGGCAAAAAAAATATGCCTTATGATTTAATCTGTATGAACGTTATGCGTTATGATGAGTATGCCAAAAAACTTTATGCACTCTTAAATTATGACAATATTTTTTATGCAACCGAATATGGACCCGTTATTTTGTGATTTAATTTTAAAAAACTACTAAAGTAATTTTGAAACTGTACTAATCATTATGACCTTTTACTTTAATTTCAGGCAGGCGAAGTCGTGGCCAATAGCTGGTTAATACAATATAATATTAATTTCAAAACAGACTGAAAATTTCAATTTTTGACAGTTAATAACTAGTTTTTGACTGTAAATGACAGTCAGTCAAATTCAATCACTTTATTCATTTTCTTCAACACTAGGCCACCGACGTCCGTTCGGCACATTCGCGACACCCCCGACTTTTGCATCTCGAGCGCATCCCGAGATTTGAAGTTCGAAGGAAAGCTCGCGTTTCGTCTATTTATATGAAGTTACAATACTGTATGATATTATTACCGTGACATAGGCCTCCCCCAATGCTTTCCATGTTGATCGATTGGTAGCGGCCTGCGTCCAGCGCTTCCCTGCTACCTTTATGATGTCGTCGGTCCCCCTTGGTGACGACAGTGGAGAGATAAGGCTTGGGTATTTAAACGACAATAGTTCAACGGTTTCTGTGAGTGAATCGCATTTTGACAGCTTATTAAAGCCGTTTTCTCTTTCTCCCGCTTTGCAACGGAGTGAAGTCGATCTTATATTTCGAACTCAGAATATTTTTTGATTGATATAGTAAACTATGCACGGGACTATTCAAACTTCACTGGTTGAGTTCCATATGAGGTCAAACTGTGATTCTGGTTATATAGGACTTGGGACAATTCTTTTTTGTAACGCCATTTTCTGTGCTAAAAACTACTCATTACCGCTTTTATTGCAAACGTAAAACGTACACAAAAAAAGCAATAAATAAAATTCTATTCTAAAATTGTTGTAGGTATTTTATAAAGTACTAGCTGACCCCGCGAACTTTGTTCCGCCTTAATGGCAATAAATAAGCAGACTTTTTTTTAATTTCGAACGGGATAAAAAATTATCCTATGTCCTTCTCCTGGCTCTAAACTACCTCCCGGACAATTTTCAGCTAAATCGGTTCAGCCGTTCTTGAGTTATAAGCGAAGTAACTAACACGACTTTCTTTTATATATATAGATTAAAGTCAAGTATCAAGGTCTTATTGCCCAATGAAGTAATAAATAAATAAATGGTTGTCATACGTTTGGACAGATTATTTAATTCCCGTTAAACCTTTTAACTAATCCATTGATTCCCAAAGTGGGGGCGCGCCCCCCAGGGAGGCGTAAAGACCTATAAATGGGGGCACGGGCCATTTGTGTACTTAAGTATAAAAAACCTGCGACCGCTGAGAGAATGCATTCCAGACCGCTCGATACGACCAATAAATAATCTTGACTGGAGGAGGGGGCGGAATTTTTTGTATGGTCGAAAGGGGGCGCGTCTCAAATTAGTTTGGGAACCAATGAGCTAAGCTAAATATTTATCTTTAATGTTTCACCCACAGAACCACCTGCCGAATATAAAGGTACACGCTTACTTCGCTCCCGTCACGCCGCCCGTCGCCGGCGCCGCGCGCCCGCGGTACTGCCGCTGCTGCAATATTATATGAGCCGCGGGTGAGTGTACATATACAGCTGTTGTACAGCTAATATAGCTACTAGCTTCTACCAAGACATTGGTTCTGCCGCTGCTGCAATATTATATGAGCCGCGGGTGAGTGTACATATACAGCTGTTGTACAGCTAATATAGCTACTAGCTTCTACCAAGACATTGGTTCTGCCGCTGCTGCAATATTATATGAGCCGCGGGTGAGTGTACATATACAGCTGTTGTACAGCTAATATAGCTACTAGCTTCTACCAAGACATTGGTTCTGCCGCTGCTGCAATATTATATGAGCCGCGGGTGAGTGTACATATACAGCTGTTGTACAGCTAATATAGCTACTAGCTTCTACCAAGACATTGGTTCTGCCGCTGCTGCAATATTATATGAGCCGCGGGTGAGTGTACATATACAGCTGTTGTACAGCTAATATAGCTACTAGCTTCTACCAAGACATTGGTTCTGCCGCTGCTGCAATATTATATGAGCCGCGGGTGAGTGTACATATACAGCTGTTGTACAGCTAATATAGCTACTAGCTTCTACCAAGACATTGGTTCTGCCGCTGCTGCAATATTATATGAGCCGCGGGTGAGTGTACATATACAGCTGTTGTACAGCTAATATAGCTACTAGCTTCTACCAAGACATTGGTTCTGCCGCTGCTGCAATATTATATGAGCCGCGGGTGAGTGTACATATACAGCTGTTGTACAGCTAATATAGCTACTAGCTTCTACCAAGACATTGGTTCTGCCGCTGCTGCAATATTATATGAGCCGCGGGTGAGTGTGCGACATTTATACTGATATACAGCTGTTATGCAGATGTTATGTTGATATGCAGCGAGATCGAATCAGAAATGAAGAGATCCGTAAACGAACTAAAGTCGCTGACATAGCCCGACGGATCAACAAGCTGAAGTGACAATGGGCAGGGCACATAGTACGTAGAACTGACGGCCGATGGGGCAGCAAGGTTCTGGAATGGAGGCCGCGTACCGGAAAACGCAGCGTGGGACGTCCACCCACAAGGTGGACCGACGACATCGTAAAGGTAGCAGGGAAGCGCTGGACGCAGGCCGCTACCAATCGATCAACATGGAAAGCATTGAGGGAGGCCTATGTTCAGCGGTGGACGTCCTATGGCTGAAATGATGATGATGACAGCTGTTGTACAGCCAATATAAGACCTCTGTACACTTCACTAGCCACTAAACAGCTACTAGACAATTTAGCAGCTATGGAGATCCGATGCAGGTACTATAAGGATACTAGATACTTAGCAGCTGGTTTAGTCACTTATACAGCTAATATAAAGCCACTAGCTACTGCACGTGGCTGCTGCCGCGCGCCCGCGGTACTGCCGCTGCTGCAATATTATATGAGCCGCAGGTGAGTGTGCAACAGTTACGACAGTGTAAAACTATTGTACAGCTTTTATACAGCTGTTATATAGCCTTTGTACAGCTATTAGTCATTTTACAGCTGCGTCTGAGCAGCTGTAAACTGTATAGTTACTAAAAAGCTACTATACAAAAATAGCTGGTATAAAGCCTTTGTGCGGTTACTAGCCAACGTCAGTTATCAAATAACTGTGGATTCAACTGTAAATAAATACTACAATGCTACGGTGTTCAGCTGTTATGAAGTAACTGTATGGCTACGAAAAAGCCACTGCAGTTACTATAAAGGCATTCATTTGTGCAACAAAAGCTGTTTAATGGGTTAAAACGTAACAGTTTTTTAAGTTTTATTTTATTAGTGTTAATAATAATTTTCACTATTTAAGCTTTCATATAAGAAACTATAGCTAAACCATTCATTTTTCATCAGGTCCATCGCAAATCACAGTGTGTTGATCGGCGAGCGCCGTCGGATTGCATCACCGGCCATTTGTGGCCGCAAGATATTGATAAACCCTGTCGTGTTGCAGTGATATAAAAGTGAAATGAAGTGACAAAGTGTTGAGAGCTTAGTGACTGTGCGCTTTATAAGAGCTATTTAAGTTGCTGCTATAGAACTGTGGATTATTTTGCGTAAAGACGATTTTTTCCCAGTTAAAAAAAGGAATATGCAAATGAAACGAAATGTTTTTCCGTTAGTGTCGAGTAGTATTTCAACGAAATAAAATTCAAAATTGAAATAACTTATAAAATTATAAGTTTTGAACGAAATTGTGGTTAATGATTTTAGAATAGTTTTTAAACGTATTACAAACTACAATTAAAATTGGATTTCGTTCAAAATCAGGTTTAACGTATAGTATGGAATGGGATCATAGTATGTTGGCAACGTACCTATTGGAAAAATATAACGTCCATCCATACATGAAAAAGTCAAGTTCTTTAAAATTGTGCAACACTTTTAAAGCGTAAAAAAAGCATTTTTAAAATAGTCATTATTTTAAGTTAACGCGTTTAGGGTTTATCGATGTGGTGGGAACATTGGGAACATACGAATTTTCGAACGACAGGGCTTCTGTGTTGCCCTCTTTAGGGTAGCCATATTGGTTACGTTTATGTCAATATTTGACAGTGATTTGGCCAAAAATTTGGTGATTGGTCTAATAAATCAATGTTTTAAAACCACATGCAACTAATTTACGTAGCTATGACGTAAGTGTCTTAAAATTAAGAAGGGATAGGCAATTTTGCTATTACAAACTAATGTTTGCAGTTGGCCAGTATGGGAGGACGTGTCTTCCAACTACAAAGTTATGTTTGTTTTTGAATTTGGCTAAACCAATGTTCATTTGGTTTCAAAAACTGATATTTTAGGTAAATAATGGAAGAAAAAGAGTACGAATCCCTCAGTATGCAAGTCCGAATAACTTTTGACCGGGTAAAGTTGTCTGTGGTTTAAACAAATGACCAATGGCCATATTGGCTGAGTCTTTGTCTATGCCTATAATAGATGTAGTTGACAACCATATGGTCACCTTTCAAGTAAATGTGGTAGACATTTGAGTGGGCGACTTTTTCTTCTTCCAACGTTTATGGTTGAATCTATAGAAATATTGTGGGAGGCTACTGTGATATTGGGCTACCATCACATAAAAATTATGGAGGTATGTACAGGGATGTTGTATTGTAGAACTTAAGGGGGTAGTTGTAAATATAAAATTATGAGGGTACTTTGACAAAATGTATTTCGTTGATGCTTGGAGAAAGAGAAGTAAAATTAACTAAAATATAAAAAGGCTACTTGTCAAACAAAAAATGCATTTAATGTACTTTAGTAAGAAAGTGAAACGAAGAAAACTGGAAAAACGAAAAGAAAACAAAGACTTTGGTAGGATAATATTTTTTGTGTTAAAATTCTAAGCAAATCTCTTGATCGATTTTATTTCTTTGAAGCTAAAACCAAAAAAAAAGGTTTCTATGAAGAGAAAAATGTGGGAGTTAAACAGAAGATAAAAATCTTGGCAAAAACTAAACTTATACTATAGCGCCATCTATGAAAAGAATCTGGATTTAGTTGCCCACTCAAATGTTTGACATCTGTCATAGATTTAAGAGCCTGTACATACGTCAGCCTTACTAATCAATAAATATAAATAAATAAATAATAAAAATAGAAAAAAATGTTGATCGTAAAGAACGAAGTACTTGGGAGTCTTACAAAGAGGTTTTTTGTATGTTTTTTTGGACAGCACAGCAAAGTGTAAAGTTTTGATGAAAAATGACATCTATTACAATTAAATAAGATGCTACAATGTTAAGTTTATGTGCTATCGTATGTACAGTCAGCGTCGAATAGTTCGTGACACCCAAAGTGGCCATAAAGCTGACAACACAACCTTATTCCAATGAGGGCTATCGTTTTTATACTTAACAGTTGGCACCCCTGGCGATTGACAGGACCTTACTCTACAGGAGCGCCATCTTGATGAGTGCAAATGCGATAGTCTTCCTACCACTTTCGCGCTCACAGTCGGCGCCACTGTGTCTTCGCTACTAGCAAGTGACAGGACCTTACTCTACAGTGGCGCAAACTGGTGAGCGCTAAAACGATAGCCCTCATTGGAACAAAGACGTGTTGCGATCTTTTTGGCCACTTTAGGTGTCACGGACTATTTGACGCTGACTGGTAAGAATATACATGGGCTTTCAAAAGTCTTAAAAATGTTGATAGTGAATTTTTTAAAAGCCGGTGTGTACTCTTTAAAGGTTTAGTCTGTTGACTTATCATTTTGTATTTAATACGTATGGTGATAAAGGTGGTTATTGTTTGAAAGCCGCTTAGTTATGTCTAGGGGACGTAAAATGCAAAAGATTGTGATTATGATCAAAGAACGTTTCCAAAATAATTGATCAGTGTGTTATCTGTTTCTTCTGTTGTCATTATTTTTAAAAGTACACAGATTTTTTAAGAACTGTGTACTTTTTTAAAGTTTTAACACCTCATTTATTATGTTGCTTAGAGCAAGCAAATGGTTGATAAAGGGGATACACTCAAAAAAGGATAAAGTACACAAATATGTAACAAAAATACACAACATAAAAAATTGACATGAGATACTTTGTTGTCAACCAGTAATTGTCATTTAACCAAAATGATGAAAATAAAAAAAAGCGTTAAGTGAAACAGTTTTACTTTTTTCTGTGTTTTATGTATTGTGAATTGAAAAAAATTGCTAAGAAATGTAATTTAAAAAAATGTGTTTTATTATTGCAAGCAAATTATAATTCAAGTTTTCATTTTTAAAATTGACTTGTACCTATATTGTAAGAAACATTTTTTTGTGAATAAATAATTGTAAAAATTGACGTTTGCGTTCGATTGTAAAAGTTTATATTTGGAGTGGGAAAGGTTATGAGGCTTTAAAGGTGCGATGTGAATCCATATTAATCTAAAAAAATATGCTAGTTTTTATCTAGACAAATTGAAGTTCTCTCAATAAACTCCGTAATTGCTAAAGTGAATGTACTAATGTATTCATAAACGATTGTGTTTTGGGTAATTTCAGTTAAAGTCCCATCAAAATCGGCATTCGGTAAAAATCTGTTACATTATACATTTTGACACATTTTTTTACGCAGAAAAAAAGCAAATATTTGACTGCAATCACACTCGATGTTAAATAAGATGATGTTATATGAATGGAAAAAATCACGATTCTCATCGCACCTGATATTAGAAGGATAAGTTCGATTGAAACTTGTATATAAATATGTTATTTATGTACCTTTATTGTACGAGGAACTAAAATACGAGGCAAAAAAGTTATTTTCATATGAATGTGTGTAGAAATAGAACAGGAACCCAAGTATGTGTACCTAGATGGCTAGCAAATTTTTATTAATACTGGTGTTGTGTCATTTTGACGTTGACGTATTTTTTTACACATCTCAACTGTCAATAATGTATAATGTATCCATAGCTGGGCGTTAACTCGTTAATCCGTTAATCGTTAATTAACGAAGTTAACATTTCTATTAACGGATTAACTTTTAAGTTAACTTTAAAAAATGTTAACGGACTCGTTAACTTCCGTTAAATTATCCTAAGTCCGTTAATCGTTAATCCAGTACCTACTATTTACCAAAAAGATACAGCAGGCACGCTGAAAAACACTAGAAAAACGCGTTCTGACAAGTACGTTCAGGCTTCCAGAACCCAATCTGTAAGTTGAATCCCATATGTTTTAATACACAAAAATGCGGTTACATTGACCATTATTCCTGTACATTCTCAAGAACTTTCCATGTAAAGAAACCTAAAAAAACAGGATAGAGTAATCGATCGTGCACTGAACCAAGGTCGGGGTAATCATATTCTTATCTCGATAACTCCGAAATTCTGCGACGAGTTGCATTACCGGTCACCTCGGCACGCAGGCCACCACTAAAGGTTCACGGGGGAGGATAGAGCTCGTTTCTAAATTGCTTTGCAAGGGACGTAGGCGCACATTAGCGACGTGTCGGGGTAATCACGGTTAACGCTCGGACACAACTTCAAATAATTATTTTACAAAACCTTTTAGTGATATTTTTATACCGTATATATTTTATCAATGTCTATTTAATCAGTAATCGATTACATAAGCTTTGAAAGCGGTAATAATAACGGATTAATTTATACGAGCAAATTTGTTCTGAAATCCGGAGCGCGGACACGTCGTGGTAATCAATTTTTGACGTTCGTTCGTTCGTTTCAGCCAAATGACGTCCAACGGTCCTGCGCTGCCCGCATCCAGGCTCTTCCCGCGACCTTTACCAGATCGTCGGTCCACCTAGTAGAATTTTTGACGACTTACGATTTTTTTTTATTACTTAATTAACTATTATTAACTATCTCTGTGGTTTAACAACAAGAACCAAAGTTATACTATTAGATAATAATATTTGTTACTAAAATATTATGATATTCGGGTACTTTTTGGCCACGGACACGTGATTTCTTGGCCGGTGGAACGACCCATTACTATAAAAACTACCTACCAACGAAAATTGTTTTGAACGAGATCTAGTAAGTAGTTTTTTTTAATACCTCGTAAATCGTAAACCGCTTATTACCGCGTAATCCCAACTAATATTATCTGTCTGTCTGTCTGTCTGTCTGTCTGTCTGTCTGTCTGTCTGTCTGTCTGTTACGCTTTCCCGCTTAAACCTCGCAACCGATTTTGATGAAATTTGGCATAGAGACAGTTTGAGTCCCGGGAAAGAACATAGGATAGTTAGGGACGCGCGCGATAAAGTTTTTGTATGACAGACAAAATTCCACGCGGGCGAAGCCGCGGGCGGAAAGCTAGTCTTTCATACAAATAACTTAAATTAAAAAAAATAATAATTTCATAAATCAATGGTACGGAACCCTTTGTGCGTGAGTCCGACACGCACTTGGCCGGTTTTTTCGTTTTATTATCGTGTGTTAACGGATTAACGATTAACGTTAACTTGCGTTAAATCTTGCTAAATGTAACGTTTTAACGTTTAACGAAGTTAATTTTTTTATTAACGGTTTAACGATTAACGAAGTTAACTATTTGATTAACGGTGCCCAGCTATGAATGTATCATTAATGATACATGCAGTAATTAATGACATAACACCGTTAATTTTGGGGCTAATACAGATTGTAATTGAAAGCTTTTAGATCCGATTAAAAATTGAGGCTGTTTCAAATACTCAAAAAGTTTAATAAATTTGACAGTTTAGTTTGGAGGTGGCGCCACCTATTTGTGATACACCTCGATTTTTAATCTCTATTTCACTGTTTGACGTTAACTGTCACTTGTCGTCCATAGATTGTATTCTCAACTATAGTCTATCCAATATAGCTTGATTAGAATGACGGCTGTCAAACGAATGTGACTAGTGATGGGTATGTTTCGTACAGTTCACATAGATGTATCGATAAGTTTTCGAAAAAATTATATAAAAAAATGCACCCAATTTTTCTTCATATCTTTATTCATAAAAATGACAATTATGATTTAAATTTAAAGACAGTAAAATTTAAAATTCATCTCAAGGGTGTACAACCTAAGTCGTAGTCATTATCATTAGTGTTCTTCAGTGGTTTTTTCCTCTCGCTAGAGGGCGGTGGGCATCTCTTCTAGAGCAACGGTGCTATGAATACCCAAAAAATTACCGGTGATTGATTTCCGATGTTTGATTATTTAAGAATGAAATGTTTTTTGGTTTTTAATAGTGAACATTTAGAAGAACGTATAACTTGACTTAAATATGTTAAAAAATTAGTTAGAAAAAAAATTGTGTCGCGGGTACCGCACGGTCAGCATCGCGAGCCCGCGCCGCGCTCGGGCAGCAGAAGGGCCTGCTGCAGCTGTGGACGCGCTCGGGCTCGCTGCGCCGCGCGGCGTGCGCGCCCGAGTCGCTCTCGGCGCTCGCCGTGCGCGACGACGGCCGGTTCGTCGGCGTCGGCACCATGTTCAGCGGCTCCGTCGACATCTACGTCGCCTTCAGTCTGCAGGTGAGGCGTTGAGACGTGTTTTTGTACGTTTTTGGTTACAGATACGAACTTGATTCATTAGTCAACTGACGTATTTTTTGTACGTTTTTCAATTAGAGCGCTTTCACATTTAGGCGTCATTAGCAGCGCGACAAACGCGCGACAGACGCGCTGCGGATAATTTCATACTATGTGACAGCGGATGCCTGCCTTCACATTATAAAAACGCGCCGCTGCCGCGCTGCTGTCGTGCTTCTCAAGCCCTAATGTGAAAGCAGCCTTACTGAATTATACGAAATACCTCTCACTGATTAATCACGAAACCTCGGATACAAAAACACCTAGAAACTTCAAATTTGGTAAGTATTTAGGTTCCTTAAAGGGTGTAGACATCCGCTAAGGACGGATTTTACGAAACTCCACCCCTAAGATGGTAAAAATTACTCCACGCGTACAAGGTCACAAACGGGACGATCGCTAGTACTTTAATACAAAAGATACAAAGTAGATGGGACCAGTGTCTTGGACCTTGTTGTGCACAAACGCACATTAGGGGCCAAGTTCGAACCAAGGGGNTTCGCGGCCTTTCGCGCCGCGAGTGTAGAGCGCGCTCTAGGAGAAGGGGCTTCCTAGTTCACCAAATATAGTCCACTGTTGGACAAAGGGGACCCGTTTGCACAAAGAAGCTAGCTAGGACAAAAAGGCCTCCCCTAAGTGTCGCGGGCACCGCACGGTCAGCATCGCGAGCCCGCGCCGCGCTCGGGCAGCAGAAGGGCCTGCTGCAGCTGTGGACGCGCTCGGGCTCGCTGCGCCGCGCGGCGTGCGCGCTCGAGTCGCTCTCGGCGCTCGCCGTGCGCGACGACGGCCGGTTCGTCGGCGTCGGCACCATGTTCAGCGGCTCCGTCGACATCTACGTCGCCTTCAGTCTGCAGGTGAGGCGTTGAGACGTATTTTTGTATGTTTTTGGTTACAGGTACGAACTTGATTCACTAGTCAACTGAAGTATTTTTTGTACGTTTTTCAATTAGAGCGCTTTCACGTTTAAGCGACTTAGCAGCGCGACAAACGCGCGACAGACGCGCTGCGGATAATTTCATACTATGTGACAGCTAGGGCATGCAAACCGGTTAACCGGATAACCGAAAAACCGGATAACCGACACAATTTGGAACTCGGTTTTTGTCAGTTATAAATCCGGGTTTTTCGGTTATTTCGGTTTTTCTTCTACGATTTTAGATCTATATACAGTGTGAGTCACGTTAAAGTGTACATATGAAAATAGATGAAACTAGACCTATTTTTATCGACAAAAAAGAGGTCAAAAATTTTTTGAGATTTTTTTTCAATTTTTTATAGAATTTTTTTATTCCAATTACTTGTTGTAAAGAAAACGTAATAACTTTTAAACTAAGCGGTATATCTTGATAAAATAAAAACAGTAATAATGAAAAATAACAAGCAATACTAAAATAATACATAAAATACACAAAAAATGCCAACAAATAATAAAAAATGATACTTTTTGAAAAAAATCTGCTTAAAAATTCGTGTTTTTTTGGTTATTTGATAAATTTCTCCAAAAAATGCCCGTATAACCGGTGGTTTTTATTACTTTCTATTATTTTCTATCGTATTATCTTTGTAAAACCAAAAATCGCATGTCTCTATCCCTATCACAAATTCTATAAAAAATTAAAAAAAAATCTCAAAAATTTTTTGACCTCTTTTTTGTCGATAAAAATAGGTCTAGTTTCATTTATTTTCATATGTACACTTTAACGTGACTCACACTGTATATAAAAGAAAGTCGTGTTAGTTACTCCACTTATAACTCAAGAACGGCTGAACCGATTTAGCTGAAAATTGTCAGGGAGGTAGTTTAGAGCCAGGAGAAGGACATAGGATACTTTTTATCCCGTTCGAAATAAAAAAAAAGCCTGCTTATTTATTGCCATTAAGGCGGAACAAAGTTCGCCGGGTCAGCTAGTAATTTAATAACTCATACAAGAACATGCTTCTTTAGTCATATCAATAAAAACAATTATTGTAATGCAATGTGAATGAGTAGAGTATAGTCTATGGCTATGGTATTGAACTAGCTAAAGCTATAAGCGCGCGGGCGCAAAATGGAACGCGCTTTGTATTTGACCATTGCCGCCATTATTTTTGCTTTGCTAGTCTCTGTCAGTGTCAACTTACATATTATTTAATTAAGCATAACCACAGAATAATAATAAGTACTACGTACAGAAGTTTTACTTCGCGAAGGTATTTAAAAAAATGTATGCTCAATGTCATTAACAATATGGTGTAATTTAGCCTGTCTCAAGGAGTCAAGCACCATTTTGTTGACAAACGTCAGTGATCGGCACTGCGCCGAAGCTATAGGGCTGACTTCGGTAAAATGATGTGACGTGATGTGCCAAACTGCGGAAAATGGCGGAAGAAATACATGAATTATCATGAATAATATTAGTCTTGAGGCAACTTAAAAAAGTACATTGTGTTTTTATTATTAATTAGGCAGTTAAATACTGCACAGCATTTAGTACACCATTTTCTTTATTGTCTTCCAGCATACACAAGAATACGCGTGCGTGAGGCAATGTTCGCTCGTATGTGAGGCCTTGTCGAATAGTATCCTGTAGGTGGGCCATCGTGCGTGTTTTGTTTTCGATGTAAACTCGCGGAGATGAACAGGCCTGGCATAACTATGACCAAATGTTCTTCTTCTTTTTTGATGATGTTGGCAATACACGTCGAGGTAGACTTGATTTGTGCCATTTTCCAGTATATAAGTGATACGAGTTACAAAATGAGATCTAGTAATGATATAATGAAGGATGATAGATGATAATTTGCAGCATTTTTATTTACTTACAAACAGTCGACCCGAAAAACCCGAAAAAACCGGTTTAGTTCGGTTTTTAAAAATAAAAACCGAAACAACCGGTTTTTCCAAACCGCTCGGTTTTTGCATGCCCTAGTGACAGCGGATGCATGCCTTCACATCATAAAAACAGCACTGTCGCGCTTCTCACGCCCTAATGTGAAAGCAGCCTTACTGAATTACACGAAATACCACTCATTGATTGATCACGAAACCTCAGAAAATATAACACCTACACACTTGAAATTTGGCAGGTAGGTTCCTTATAGGGTGTAGACGTCCACTAAGAACGGATTTTACGAAACTCCACCCCTAAGGGGATGAAAAGGACTCCACGCGTAGGCGGCCGCAAGTACTTTAATAGAAAAGATACAAATTATAGTGTTTTGGACTCTGTTGGGAACAAATGCAAATTACGGGCTAGGAGAGAGCGGCTTCCGTGTTTTAACCAAAATCATCCACTATTGGACAAAGGGGTCCCCGTTTGGCACGCAAAGAAGCTAGCTAGGACAAAGGCCTCCCCTAAGAGTGTCGCGGGTACCGCACGGTCACCATCTTGAGCCCGCCGAAGCAGAAGGGCCTGCTGCAGCTGTGGACGCGCTCGGGCTCGCTGCGCCGCGCGGCGTGCGCGCCCGAGTCGCTCTCGGCGCTCGCCGTGCGCGACGACGGCCGGTTCGTCGGCGTCGGCACCATGTTCAGCGGCTCCGTCGACATCTACGTCGCCTTCAGTCTGCAGGTGAGGCGTTGAGACGTGTTTTTGTAAGTTTTTGTTTACAGGCACGAGCTTGATTCATCAGTCAATTGCGATAGGGCTGAATGCTACAAGAAGCTCCTGTGTCGCCATCTAGCGCACCACACGCGTACTCTTTCTTCTTTCTATAGCGATTTTTTCTTTACATAGGGTGAAGGCTACGCGCGCGTACGTCAGTAGTATGGAATTGGGCANCGCCGCGCTCGGGCAGCAGAAGGGCCTGCTGCAGCTGTGGACGCGCTCGGGCTCGCTGCGCCGCGCGGCGTGCGCGCCCGAGTCGCTCTCGGCGCTCGCCGTGCGCGACGACGGCCGGTTCGTCGGCGTCGGCACCATGTTCAGCGGCTCCGTCGACATCTACGTCGCCTTCAGTCTGCAGGTGAGGCGTTGAGACGTGTTTTTGTACGTTTTTGGTTACAGGCACGAACTTGATTCACTAGTCTTTTTTAAGTATTGTAAGTGTATTGTCGATGATACTGAATAAACATTTTTTCTTTCTTTCTTTCTTTCTTTCTAGTCTAGGGCTGACTGCTACAAGAAGCTACTGTGTCGCCATCTAGCGCACCACACGCACACTTTTTCTTCTTTCTATATCGAATATTTCTTTACAATGGGTGATGACTACGCGCGCGTATGTCACTCACTACTCGCTCGTGTATACTTTTTAGATTAAACCCGCCGCGCATGTTTTGTTTTCGTATAATCTGGCAGGTAGGTTCCTTATAGGGTGTAGACGTCCACTAAGAACGAATTTTACGAAACTCCAACCCTAAGGGGGCAAAAAGACGGGTGGCCGCTAGTACTTAAATACAAAAGACACAAAGTTACAAAGTAGATGCGACCAGTGTTTTGAACCTTGTTAGACACAAACGCAAATTAGGTGCTAGAGGAGGGGGTTTCCAAGTTTACTAAAGACAGTCCACTATTGGACAAAGGGGACCCGTTTGCACAAAGAAGCTAGCTAGGACAAAAGCCCCCTAAGAGTGTCGCGGGTACCGCACGGTCAGCATCGCGAGCCCGCCGCCGCGCTCGGGCAGCAGAAGGGCCTGCTGCAGCTGTGGACGCGCTCGGGCTCGCTGCGCCGCGCGGCGTGCGCGCCCGAGTCGCTCTCGGCGCTCGCCGTGCGCGACGACGGCCGGTTCGTCGGCGTCGGCACCATGTAGCACCATAACACAAGCATTAAGTTGCTTACTTTGAGGTTAGCTGGCACTTTGTGAAATTGTCCAAAGATTTATTATAATTTCTTATTATATTATTGTAATTTATATGTTAAAATATCAATTTAATTAAAACATCAGAAACGAGTGCATAAGGCACAAACAATAGTTACTTTTGTCGCAGTGTCAGCAGCGTTATTTCCGGCGCTCGTTTCGATGCGTGTGACGCAACAAGTCGACGACAGTGGCGGGGGCCGTGTTATTTCAATATAAATTTATCCATTACACATTAAATAATTAGATAACTATATTATTTACTCGAGTATGCGAAGCCAGCTTCGAATAATGGCATGGTAACAGATCAGCATGCTGAAGTGTTATCAGTAAGTTGTATTTCATGTGGGTAATGTATTAACAACGATTGTAAATTTTTTTGTGGTTCTCGTTTCCGAAAGCAGGTGCGCTGCGCGGTGCGAGGTCGAGCGCGCTATGCGTTGCGTTGCTAATGAGTAGTATGGAATTGGGCAATTCTAGATCATCTGGAGCGAGCAGCGTTAGCGACGAGCGACAGTGATCTAGAATGCCCAATTCCATACTACTTACGTCACTCACTACTCGCTCGTGAATCCTTTGTAGATTAAACCCGCCGCGTGTGTTTTGTTTTCGTATAATCTGGCAGGTAGGTTCCTTATAGGGTGTAGACGTCCACTAAGAACGAAATTTACGAAACACCAACCCTAAGGGGGCAAAAAGGCGGCCGCTAGTACTTATACTTAAATACAAAAGACACAAAGTTACAAAGTAGATGCGACCAGTATTTTTGACCCAGTTGGGCACAAACGCAAATTAGGGTCTAGGAGAGAGGGGCTTCTAAGTTCCAACCAAAGACGTCCACTGTTGGACAAAGGGGACCCGTTTGGCACGCAAATTAGGAGCTAGGAGAAAGGAGGCTTGCACCCAAAAGAGTGACTTTTGTTCACCGCTGGACAAAGGCCTTCTCTAAGAGTGTCGCGGGTACCGCACGGTCAGCATCGCGAGCCCGCGCCGCGCTCGGGCAAGCAGAAGGGCCTGCTGCAGCTGTGGACGCGCTCGGGCTCGCTGCGCCGCGCGGCGTTCGCGCCCGAGTCGCTCTCGGCGCTCGCCGTGCGCGACGACGGCCGGTTCGTCGGCGTCGGCACCATGTTCAGCGGCTCCGTCGACATCTACGTCGCCTTCAGTCTGCAGGTGAGTTGTTGAGACGTGTTTTTGTACGTTTTTGTTTACAGGCACGAACTTGATTCACTAGTTTAGGGCTGACTGCTACAAGGAGATACTGTGTCGCTATCTAGCGCACCACACGCATACTTTTTCTTCTTTCTATAGCGAAAATTTCTTTACATAGGGTGAAGGCTACGCGCGCGTACGTCGCTCGTGAATCCTTTGTAGATTAAACCCGCCGCGCGTGTTTTGTTTTCGTATAATCTGGCAGGTAGGTTCCTTATAGGGTGTAGGGATTCGTTAAGAACGGATTTCGGACGAAACTCCATCCCTTAAGGGGGTAAAAAGGACTCCGCGCGTACAAAGTCACAGACGGCCGCTAGTACTTAAATAAAAAAGAAACAAAGTTACAATGTACATGGGACCAATGTTATGGACCGTGTTAGGCACAAACGCACATTAGGGGCCAAGTTCCAACCAAAGACGTCCACTGTTGGACAAAGGGGTCCCCGTTTGGCACGCAAAGAAGCTAGCTAGGACAAAAGCCCCCTAAGAGTGTCGCGGGTACCGCACGGTCACCACTGCAAGCCCGTTGACNCCCTGTCCTATCTGATCTGCTGTCCATTAGTAAGTCCCCTGGCCAGCCGCATGGTCCCCTGGCCAGCCGCAGCGAGGCCGCGCTGCTGTCCATCAGCGTCGACAACTGCCTCTGCGTCCACAGCCTGCCGCCGCGCAGTAAGTTCCCTGTCNAAGAAGCTCCTGTGTCGCTATCTAGCGCACCACACGCATACTTTTTCTTCTTTCTATAGCGAATATTTCTTTACAATGGGTGAAGATTACGCGCGCGTACGTCACTCACTACTCGCTCGTGAATCCTTTGTAGATTAAACCGGCCGCGCGTGTTTTGTTTTCGTATAATCTGGCAGGTAGGTTCCTTATAGGGTGTAGAGATTTGTTAAGAACGGATTTCGGACGAAACTCCAGTCTACAGGTAACATTAGTATAGATCGTTTCATCCACGAAGACGCGCCCCACCATTCTTCCGCTAATGTTTGAATGTTATCGGTACACGTTAACTATAGGTACATGAGTGCTCACGCACACACAATAATGACGCTCGGATTGCTCGGATCAAAACCTGCTAGGAGAGAGGCTTTCAATCAAAAGAATGGCTTTTGTCCACTCCTGCACAAAGGTGTTCCCTAAGGATTTCCACATTTTCCACATTGACCCGTCCTGCGCTGCACGTATCGACGTATCCAGGTGTTACCCGCGATCTTCAATAAATCGTTGATTCACCTAAAGTACGGCCAACGAGAAGCGTCATGGGTGAACCCGTCTGACTTTGACATATTTTGGCGGGAGAACGAGACCTTACGACAAATACACAAGATGGGAAGAGACAGAATATATTGTCAATTCGACAGTCGTATCGACCTTTTGTATCGCTGCTAGTTGGCCCTACCTACTTTATGAGCTGTTAAAAACGTCATTCTCATTTATTTTGTATGGTAAAGGCTTGCGGAAATTCCTATACCAAGTCGTGATCAAATTATGTACCTAATTAATTAATTAAGCAAGAGACTGTACAATAGAGTTATACATTCGAAATGTATAAAAAGCGTATTAGCTCGGGGTCAAGGCAAGGCCGCGGGAATCGCCTCTATAAGGAAAGTCGATGCGAAGTTGCAAAGTCGTCTAACTTGTAAACACTGACCTTTGGAACGAGGCACCGATATGATTAATTTGTTTATAACTTTTTACTTGTGAAATGCGTTCTATTACGAGACTGTATGAAATCATATTTTTTAAGTAGACGTTTTTACTGCTTACATACAAATTTATTAATTTGTGTCTTATCTCCTATGACAGAACAATTTTTTTGAACTAAGTAATAATGCAATAATGCAGTAATTAATTAGTTTGTTGTTCGTTACACATCGTGATGTGTGTGAAAACACGTGTGTTTTCATCGAGTTTTGCTACTTATTTTCTCTTTCGAAAAACAAGCTATCGCTATATGAACAGGTTCCTTTCTAGTAACTTAATTATAAAGCATGAGTCACAGATGACGTTGATATTCATTACGTTTGGCGTAGGCGTACGTACGTCTGCTTGCAACTATTTAGAGTAGGCGCACACCGTTGATTTTTAGTTGGCCGATAGTTTAGTCGGGCAGTTGATCAGTATGGGCATGTATGGGAGTGCGCACACTACGCCGATTCGATTTGGCCGATTCTTCATACAAAATAAAATCGGGCCCAACTATCGGCCAACTAAAAATCAACGGTGTGCGCCTACTCTTAGCTAACAATGTAACTCTGTCAACGACGAAGCGGTAGCGTACATGCATACCTACTTACAATTTTTTACAGATACTTTATAATTTTTAAGATTTATTTTGCCCCTGCATACAAGGCACCCACTGAAAACCTGCGCCTTGGCAGTAACATGTCAAGACGATAAGTGGGTGACCTCTTTGACACACCACACACTTTGGTACACCAAGCGTATAAAGACGCGCAATCGTTTAGTACACTACGTCGCCGTGGAAAGTGACGACAACTGTGACTATGTCGGCCGTTTGGTTTAGTTAGTGGTTCGGAAACGGACTACTATGCCGAGAGGTCCCGGGTTTGATTCCCGGCCGGGCAGAAGTTGAAATGATGAATTTTAATTTCTGTGATGGGTCTGGGTGTTACTATGTATAATACTAGCGGCCGCCCGCGACTTCGTACGCGTGGATCCCGTTTTACCCCCTTCATCTATCTTACGCGGTTTAGATTTTTTCATACAAATGTTTTTTCCCGCTAACTCCCGTTCCCGTGGGAATTTCGGGAATTCCTTTCTTAGTGCACCTCTACGGTACCTAAGCTACGTCCATTCCAAATTTCAAGTGCCTACGTTTAGCCGTTTAGGCTGTGCGTTGATCTGTCACTAAGTCAGTTTCTCCTTTTATATATTAGCTTAGATGTATGTATTTACAAAAAAAAAGTATTTAAGTATGTTTATAATAACCGTTGTCTAGTACCCATAGTACAAGCTTTGCTTAGTTTGGGACTAGAAGCGTAGTGTAAAATGTCCATGGCTATTTATTTATTTATATCTGTGTCTGTTGTCCACAGCGAGTGCTGCACGTGAAGAATGCGCACATGATGTTCGTCACAGGACTGGAGTTCCTGCCGGTGCGCGGATACGGGCCGCCGGTCGCCAGCCGCAGCGAGGCCGCGCTGCTGTCTATTAGTGTGGACAACTGTCTTTGTGTCCACAGCCTGCCGCCGCGCAGTAAGTCCCCTGTCCTATCTGATCTGCTGTCCATTAGTAAGTCCCCTGGCCAGCCGCATGGTCCCCTGGCCAGCCGCAGCGAGGCCGCGCTGCTGTCCATCAGCGTCGACAACTGCCTCTGCGTCCACAGCCTGCCGCCGCGCAGTAAGTTCCCTGTCACAGACACGCAACCCCCTTGGCTAGCCTTAAGCGGATCTGCTGTCCATTAGTAAGTCGCCTGGCCAGCCGCATGGTCCCCTGGCCAGCCGCAGCGAGGCCGCGCTGCTGTCCATTAGCGTCGACAACTGTCTTTGTGTCCACAGTCTGCCGCCGCGTAGTAAGTCCCCTGTCACAGATACGTGACCCCCTTGACCAGCCTAAGGTGGATCTGCTGTCCATTAGCAAGTCCCCTGGCCAGCCGTATGGTCCCCTGGTCAGCCGCAGCGAAGCAGCCCTGCTGTCCATCACTGTGGACAACTGTCTTTGTGTCCACAGTCTGCCGCCGCTCAGTAAGTCCCCGTCACAGCGCCACTTGTCACAGTACATGCAGCCACTACAAGACCCTCGTGGTTAGCCTCACTTTATTTCTCGGGGGCAGTTGTTCGTTTCAGCCGAATGACGTCTAAAGCCCGGTCTGTGACCACGTAGAATTTTGCTGCGAACTCACTGCGGGCGCCTGTCGCACAGTCGCGACAGCAATATAATTACGCGCGAGCGATAAGGATGGGTAGCTTGGGGTCATTGGACAAAATTCTACGTGCTCGCAGACCAGACTATACTGCTGAACAAAGGCCTCCCCCAAGGACTTCCAGAACGACTGGTCCTGCGCTGCCCGCATCCAGGTACTTCCTGCGACCTTTACCAGATCGTCGGTCCACTTAGTAGGAGGCCTGCCCACAGTACGCCTTCCGGGCCGAACATTTCTTCCCCAACGGCCATCAGCTCTGCAAGTTATTCGCCCCGCCAACTGCTGCACTCCTTCTGATTAAATCGCCTCGGGGGCAGAATGTCATTGAACTTTAAAGGCCCTCGCCCAGTATCTGTTTTTATATGTCTCATGTTAATCTTCAAAAATTCGTGCTCATGCACGTAAGCAGACATGACAGTCCGTTCTTAATTTTTTTATTAGATTTTAAACTTTCGCGTTCCATTTCAATTAAAGTAGTAAGACACGGGTTTTAAAGCAACGTTTATAAAGCCGCGAGTACATAATGTAACTCATTTATAAACGTCGCGTTAAGACCCGTGTCTTACTATCTTAATTTTTTTGTCATGAACCTGTATTAACTTTGGATTTTTCCCTTCCACAGAAACCATACCGGCGTGGGTGGCGATCATCCTGATAATATTCGTGCTATTTTGTACATTCACGCTATGCTCGTACCTAGGCATTTAGCCTGTAAATATTATTGAATTAATTATATTGTTATTGTCTGCGAAGATTGTTTCCTGAGAAATGCAAGGACGGGTCGCCTTGAGAGCAGCAATTGTGTAAACATTACGCGGTTGACGTCGAATTTAGCTAGCTTTGTCATTGTCACGTGAAATTATAATATACTTACGAGCAAATGGAATCACCCCTTATGTTTTGGTCGAGCGATTTAAGAACTGAATGACTATGATATAAGATTTTAAATAAGATTATAAGATTTAAGTCTGCTTGTGACCACGGCTGCAGCATCGCAGCCGAAACTCAAGCCGTGAGTACATAATGTAACTCATTAATAAACGTCGCGTTAAGACCCGTGTCTTACTATTTTAATTGAATGACTATGTATGTATTTATGGTATCAATTTAAAATGGCACCATTTTTATTTATCTTTTAGTTGTCATTTAGTTCTTATGATCGCTCGAAACAAATAGGGTGATTCTGATTCCATACTTTTGCTCGCCAGTGCAGATTTATGGCGTACCGACAGTAAAAAAATCAATATCTCATAATCTGACATGTGAGTTTAACGACACAAATAAACAACATGAAATCTATGTTACCTTTATGCCAGTTAGGAATATTTAGAGGACTTTAATGGTCTTGATTTTAAGATGTTAACCAACGGTTCAAAAAGCATCCATCCATAGATAGATGAGTCGTAATCCGAAACGACGCTTAAAACTTCTTTCAAACTCAAGTACAGATTCAAATCTGTTGGTTAAATAATGTATCTTAAAATCTTGCCCATTTCTAGATTAAAATCCCAAACCCGTGCTTAGGTGCTGATGTTGAAAGCCTGCGAGTTAGTTAACTATAGTCTGGTCTGTGAGCATGTAGAATTTTGTCCAATGACCCTAAGCTACCCATCCTTATCGCTCGCGCGTAATTTTATTGGTGTCGCGACTGTGCGACGGGCACCCGCAGTGAGTGTGCGAGCGCGACAGCAACATAATTACGCGCGAGCGACAAGGATGGGTAGCTTGGGGTCATTGGACAAAATTCTACGTGCTCACAGACCGGGCTTTATCTTTGTTGATTCTCACCTTGGGTTGCAACATCTTAAATTAACTATAACAAACGTTAAATGTCTGTTAAACTCCATACAAAAACACCGGTTATAGTTACGGTTGCGATTAAGGTGGTGCAACTTTTAGGCTTCATATTTAAAGGTTAGTACTTCAAAACTCGTGATTGTAAGATGATGTAACTTTGCCACAACAAAAGTACTGATTTGCCAACTTTGTAGGACAAAAGATGCCTTTGCTAAAAACTAGCGATAGATTTATAATCAAAGAAAATGTGTTATAGTTGTAAAATTATGAAAATATATGTATAAAGGTATTTATTTTGCTCAATACATGAAGTCTTTAACTTATTCGGAATGTTATAAAATGATGACAATTAAGAATATTGCTTGATTTATTATTTTATAATTGTACAGCAATATTTAAAATTTAGCAATAAGTTGTTTCTGGAATGTATATTATGCTCGAAGTGGTATTTATTTATTATAATTCTGAATAGCATTTATATTCACGTCGATAAAATTCTTCACTTTGAAATTAATAAATTATTATCTATCTCTATACTTTTTGTTAGGAGTGAAAGGGATAGCATAAATGGCCGTATAGAATAAAGCCCAATATATTTTATCAAAGCAAATACAAAGAGTTGCATACAATATAATGTTTAACCTTATGTTGTGTAGGAAAGAAATGCTGCCAAACGTGTCGCTAGGCATATTTTGAAGGGCTATTCCACATTGATCATCTAGATTTGATCACCCAGATGATCAAAGTGGACTCCAGGCGACACTTTGGTGTCCTTTGATCACACATGGATAAGATCAAAGTGGACTTCTTATCCATGAATGATCAAAGGACACCAAAGTCTTACTTGGAGTCACTACCTAGGTGATCAATCAAGTGAAATAGACCATTTTAAACTCTTATGCCCGTTTTCACTATCAATCCCTAATTTTTAAGTGACCCCTATGACAGCAAATTTCTTGTAATTTGTTACCATAGGGGTCACTTAAAAATTAGGGATTGATGGTGAAAACGGGCATTACTATTTCAAGAAGCTCAACATTATGGCATCTTATGCGGCTGTTATAAGAGATATTTTGCTACAAAACTGAATATTACTCATTTCTCCCCTACTCATATGAGGCTTATGAATAAATCCGTCCATAGTGCATCTGTTGAAACTATTTGTTACTAAATAGGAAATACTTAAACTTGGGTAAGACTCCCCGGAGACAACAGACTTTTTACCGGCCGATAGTTCTTCGAGTGTATGAGGAATCGGTCGATACCAAATTGGTGTAATGTGCGCACTTTCACACACAAACCGATCGAGTTAACTGCGTACCTCGATGGAAAACGACTCCCTCCCACTTACCCGTACACCTCCCCGCGTTCGCCCGTCCCGTTCCAGAGCGTGGATGTGACGTCACGGCTGCAAAGCTGGTTTTTACAAATCATCATTTTGCTCAAGGAGCCTCTACATGTCTCATAATCTTTTTACCCTACCAGCGCTTCTAGACCAACATTTGGCAAGTGCTGAGAAGAAGCGCCGCAACAAACTCAGTCTCCACTGTCTGCCGGTTAATATAAATAAATAAATAGAAATAGCAGTAGTAAGGTACATTAACAGCCCGACTAAACTATAAGTGTATTCTGAGGAGTCCAAACTTGAGTTTTAAGTAAAAATAGCACAGTTTCTTGTTTGACCAGGGTGTTGCAAGCATTTATATTATTAATATGTATGTTAAAGATTATGTATGTTTGTTGTAGCTTATATTTAAATAGTGTAGATGAAGGTTGACTACTTACCCCATATTTATCTTTAGCTGAGTGTACACAATGATTGCCTTTATAGCTTGAGGAATAAGAGCGTCTTTTTAGGGCTCTCAAGATTGATTCATCTTGCATTTTGAAAATCTGTTTATGTGCAATGAAATAGTGTTATAGAAATCATTTACATGAATGAACATTCTTTGTTTTATGTGCCTAAGTCGTAGATACTGTAGTTGTCACTAACGGTATAAGCGCCAATAAGTCTAGACTGCCAAAACTAAACGAATAACTAATTAACTAATAATAACTTCGGAATCGCCACTAGGCGTTTAGCAGTTGTGCCTTATTTCATGTTGTAGCAGAACGCGGGTTTCTTCATAATATTATTGTAGAAAATAAAATAGAGCGCGGTTGCGATTGTGTATGAATAAAACTGTTAAAAAGCAGCTTATTTAACAATACCGCGCTCCACGCTGCAGTAGACTTTCAATTCGCGCGCGATATCTTTTCAAAAATATACGAATTGAAATTATATTGCTTCCAAAATACTCCCCTCGATTGTGGCTATTTAGAAATGCGAAATACACGAGTCTCTCAGCAAACGATTCCGATGTATCTGAGGGTTGAGTGTGAGTTTACATCAAAAAATGACATTAAATGTATGACGGATTGTACAGCGCCCCTAGCGGGAAACGTTCAAAAACTAAAATTTTGTGTGACGCGCGCACTAGTGAGCTCGTTAATTTGATGTAAACTCACACTCAGCCCACTGCTCTGTCTCTTTCAGTCATGTCAGTATCATAGCATGAGGGAGAGAGATGGATAGATTCAAATGTTGCTATAATATGTTAGAAATAGATGTTGTATTTATTCTCATTATTTATTTATCTGTACTGTTACAGACGACAACACATCGAGCTAAATGCTTTAGCATTTTATGTATTCGTAATGTGTGCTTTCTCAACAAAAACATATTCTGGCTGATGTGTTCTCGACTGATCAACAGTACTGCCGTTGCCATGTGAACTTTATCTTTAAATCAAAGCAATAGAATACACTTTTGAGTGTGTTGTTTGGCCTTTCTGAATAGATTATTATTAATAATAATAAAAAATGCCAATCTCAAGGTGACCCGCCCTGCAGTAGCAACCTGGGGTTATGTAGGGTAATTATAAATAATATAAATAGGTAAATATTACGGTGGACACTATGCTCATATACTGTATTTATATTAGGATCAATTAAAATGAATGGTAAAGTTGGTATGACTGTTTCTTTTACTGAACTCATTGCCATAGATTTTTTATGTATATTTGTGTATATTTTTGGCTTGCTCTTAGGTTACAGTCAAGTGTGTTATGTTTGTTTTTAAGCACCGTCTTCTTTTTCCTGAACACTTGTTTTTACCTGCGACTTCGTTTATATTCTGCGGAATTTGGGATAACGAAGTCGTGGGTACCAACAAGTAAAACAATCTTTAAGGAATGTAGAAAATAAAAAAAATATTATTTTTCATAACATTTAATTAATTACTTACATTAAAACAAATAACATACATAATCTTCATTATAACCTCTCGGCAAGTTGCATTGAATGATTTAGATCGACTAGAGATCTATACAATAGTACATACAAATGTCCTCATACACCATACACAATACATCCTCATTGTACAGCCGGCAGCATAAAGAGCCCACTAAATAGTGTCGGGAATATTACACACGATTTTGTAAGTTATTTTCAAAAGGTCATAAATACACTTACAAGTATACACTACATTTAATAAAATTACACTCGTTGTATGTATATTAGTAGCCTTTTTGCAATAAACATAGGCTTTTTGACATGCTATGTTCAGTCATAGTAAAGATAAAGTTGGCGAAATAGTAAAGACACGACACACCATGTAAATGATGTCTTCAGCCGATGGCTCCTCTCGCGTCTAAATATAAAACACAAGTAACTATCACTTGGAGAGTCAATTTAGTTTTACCTTGCACAATTCCATGAAAATAAATAATAAAAGGAATGATTACTGGCACGTTGTTATACATTATGATATTTTATGTGTGTACTGTACATTGTCTATGATATTTCCTTAAAACGGGCAGTGGTAGATTGGACCTTGTTGCATTGTCTTAAGGACCAAAACATTCATATTTATAACTTGACCTGATTAAAGAATATCAATACATTTTTGTTTATTTCTTCGAATTGATTTAGCTATGTTCACATTGTCTTCACAATGAAATATTTTATACAAATGAGAGGTCGCAAACAATTTGGTAATTTCTAATGGACGGTAAATGATTCAACTTAACTATTCCAAAGTCATTGTGCGGTTCCACAGATAAAATAAAGTTAAATTTCAACAAAAATTTACATTGTCGCACTATAACCTCATTTATTTACATCATACAAATATAATGCTATTCTATGGTCTCTTTTAAATATTTTTATCAAAATTCTAAACAAAATTATCAAAATATATTATTCTGAAGACTACAGCGTAAACATATCAAAATGTATATTCGTATAAATACAAATTCAATAAAATCTATTCTTTGTATAACTAAAAGTTGTTTAAAAACTATTATAATAAAAATCATGTTGTTTTACAAAAATAAATTTTTAATACACACCAGTCGCCAGGCAGTAATTTTTTTCAAGATAATCATGTTCTATATTATGCGAGGAAGACTAACTTACTATATTGTGATGTATGTTTTTGTAACATATCTAAATTCGTTTATTTGAAACATGGTTCAACTACATCGAAGATGCGCTAATACGTCTAGCGGTACAGTTGGATACATAATGTAACTAAAAATAATTATTAAATAATAGTAAAATGCACTAGCAAATGGATTCGAATAAATAAATAATAAATATCGAAAAGTAATCTACGCTTTTAGGGCCGTATTATGGAACGACTCAAAATGTAGGATTGAAGCCTGTGGTTGGTAGAAATTAAATTACAGGCTTGAATTTAGGCTAGTTTGAATCGAGTATTGAGTGTCGTTCCATAATACGTGCCTGACTGTACCTTTAGACATCGCCGAATTGTATTTATCTTTACTAAGATCATTCGTCATTGGTCAGTAGACCGTTACATGCTAATAATTCACCAGTAGGCATGTATTTGGCTTGTTCCTATTAATGAAGAAGTTATTACAAATGTTTCGTTCAATGTGGTCCCTGATTTAAATACTGTATATTTAATAGATAATTGTGGTCGGGGATAGTACTTTCAAGGCACGCATTTGCCGGTCGGATGTCGGCCAAAAATCATATGTCCGTGATACCTTGTACGATATGATTTGACATAACATCTATTCTAGGATTATACGTAGTAAATGGCACATTTAAATATGTAGCATTCGATTTTTTCCTATAAAAAATGAACTTCATTATAATAACGTTTAACATACTTTTTTAGAAATCTTTGCTCTAACATCACATCAGTACAGTTTTTCTTAAACATATAAAATTAGCTACTATGCGAACAGTAATAATATTTTATATATCACAATCATATTATACAACGAACAAATTGACTTTTGCAACTCACGTTATAAATCAGTCGTTTATACAATTCAAATGATAATTATCATTAATATTTCGTAAAAACGTGATAGTAGACTTAATTGAAGTTATTAATGCGGCTGACTGTACGTTCGTTAGCAAATCAACTTGCGCATTGGGTTTTGAACGTTATGCTATAGCATCAAGGTTCAAAATCAATTGAAAAGTGTAAATTTTTGGAAAGTTGATGTGCTTACGACTGTATCGCTCTGAAGTGTCTATGGCCACGAAATGAAGACTATAAATATGAGACTCATCTTTATGCTTGTGAGTTGCAATAGAAGTTTGTCTAATAGTACCAGTGGCTTCGGCAGGTTCGAACAATAATAAATTAGACCCTGGCGAAAAACTTAGGAAAGAACAGAGAAGTATAGAAATATTAGGAAAAAATATAAAATTGCACGCACGTGACAAGTTATCAGTTAGCACCGTTTGATATTTTTTTATAATATTTGTGCAAGAAATTATAAAAAGGATAGGAGAGAAATAAGAATAAATACAAGTTATGGATACCATCTGTCCACCCATCGCAGCCACTGCCTCTTACCACTAACACTAAACAACATAAATACAAAGCTATCTATTTACAAGATACAATTCGAAATATAGAATATTACGATTATACACGTCTCCATATTTTTTGTAAATAAAAAAAGAGTTCGTAAGATAATATTTTTCGAAAATACATTCCTCTATTTCTTTGCACAGGGTTGAAATACTTTTCAAAAGAATGTCGTAAACATTGATATTAACGGTCGCAGTAGCAACCCCGTGCGAGATGCGTAAATTTAGCCCTGTAATACTGACTCACATCATGAAATAATTGACGTCTCTACGTTACTTAATACAAACACTTTATATGTATGAGAATCATAAAACAAATTCATAGACATACAACTGAATAATCACTCATCTAACAGAGATTATACGTTCTACAGTTCCATAAGTCTATAACAGGCAGTAACATCCATTAAAAATTCACATAAAATCTGCTTTGAGCCCACAACACCGCACTGAAATGCTTCTACTAGGCATAGTCTTTAGCACTAAGCGACCCGGGCAGGCGGCGCTCACACTGTAACCGACAAACAAATATGTTAATACATAAACTATTATCTAGTTTACTCCCACAACCTGTTATAACCCATACCTAACACTAAATAAATATTAAAGTAGTAGTGCAATCATTAAACTTCATTACTTTACATCGGAGATATCGATGATCGAATTAATTTGAACCTATATATTTATAGGTTGCCTAACATTGTACTCGTAATCTTATTACATTTACCTATAGTAATTAGTAAAAGTTAAAAACCCCTATGTTATCTTATTTAAACCATGTATTTTGGTATAATAGTTAACAAGAACCCTTGTGAGCGTTGCGAATGTCTCGCGATTCTATCGGCCTAATCTAATTGTAGCAGTTTTACAAGAATAATTAACAAATGAAAATTAGGAGCACAGGCGTAGTGAAATTCAGTCACGACTGACTTACTTAAGTGCTTTTATTTGTCAATTCAGGAGTTTAGATAAGATTCAAATAATACTACACGCTATTCTTAGAATAAATAATTAAATTATACATAATAGTATTTTTGTAGTCATAGTATCAATGTCTTAAAAAAGACCCAATAAAAAATAAATAACAGTTTAGGTAAGTAGCACAGTAACTACGCCGTTACTCTTAAATATTAACTAATGACTAAACCCACACCGTTAATAAATTAATTAATAAAACTATTTTTAATAAATTACTTAATTACTTATTATCATTTGCTTTGGCTCACTATGCCAAATAGGTGGTTGAGGTCATATAGCTAACGTATTCGAATAAGAATGGATGTTTTCCATGGCCTGGCAGCGATAGGTAAAAATATGAATTTTCACAAGCGGATTTTCACCGCCACTTATATCTCGCGACGACGGGGCTGGCACGTCAAATGACATGTCTTCGCCCGGTCTTACGGAAAAACACTCACTGGTCTTGAATTCGTGACAGCATATTGGTCCTCAATCTTATTTGGCTAAAGCGGATCAGACTCCAATTTCATTTAATCACAATTTTTACCCAGTTATGATCTAGTCTTATTAAGATAGACAATGTTTTTGTATGCCATTCCATGTAGTACTTCCACTGTCTACTTGGTTATTTTCAGCCAAGCACAGTTCAGTTTGACACAAATAGTTCGTGACCCCAAAAATGGCCAAAAAGTTGACAGACGTGTTGCGAATTATTTGGCTACTTAAGCGTCACGAACTAAACGCTGACTGTACATGTCGTGTTACATACTTGTGAATGCACCAAGCGACAAGCTCTCACTGGAGAAAGCTGTCACGAAGTCCAGCCCCATTCTTTCCTACCTCAGGCCCGATTCGACCAAACTTTCATCCGAGAATAACTCCTGGTATAACTGGCACATTGACAGTTTCAGTAATATGTGAAAACTGACGATTTATTCTGAGATTAATATTTACTCTTGTTTGGTCGAATTCACCCTTAATAATACATATCGTACTCACCGGTATCAAACGTGCTGGGGTTGATATACTGTAGGAGATCCTGATCGCTCATATCGGTGAGCCCCTGTACAGGCGCGGTCATCTCCTGGGAGACAGCCTGCGAGACAGCCTGCGAGACGGCCTGCGAGACCGCCTGCGTCACGGCCTGTGAGACTGCCTGAGACATGGCCACGAGCGGAGTCTCGCCCGGCTGCTCCGCGGGGGGCTGCGCGTCTGTTGTCTGTGGTATTACCATTACGTTATAGATGACCCACGCGGAACTGTCCCACCAAACTCAATGACAGGGGGACGCTACCATCGTTCAACTATATGGTTTCCAACATGGCAAAAATCGGAACCAGCGATCCGGTATTGACGGTGGCGCCCCACTGTCAATGTCATGCATAGGACAGTTCAGTATTTTGGAACTATATTAAGGTTGAATTAAATCTAATTGGTAAGTATCAGTAGCAGATGAAGGGCGAATTAAGATCCGAATGAATCGCTCTGACTCGAAATAATTGACTTCTGTTTTAAATTAATCCAAATAATGAAGGAATTCTTGAGATTTTTAGATTTGCAGTTTAGGAGAAACATAATTTAGGTCTCCTGGCTTTTTATGCAGACAGCTGAACAATGTCTTTCTACTTATGTCGAAGTCTTATTAATCAAGAAAATCCTTAACATCCCATTAGGACCTTACCTACCTACTCAGCGTATGGTATGTCCCACTACGATTTTCAGTAGACACATTTCAGAATCAATGTAGTAAATAGTAAAGAATCGCAGACGGACGACAAGGGTGATAGAATAACATAAATAAACAAATGCTCAATGAAACAGTAATTTACCTGCATGACGCCGCCAGCCGCGTTCTCAGTCCCCGTCGTGAGAATATTCGCCGTGTTGATGGCGGACGTGACGAGTGCATTCATGGTGGTGTCTGACGTCAGGATTTCAGCCGCTGCGTTCAGGATCATGGACTTGACGGCCGCGGGCGGCGTCTTCACCGATGTCAGCTGCACCTGTTCTGGCAGCATCATCAACTCCTCCTGCGACGTCGTCGCGGGAAGACCCATGCGCTGATTGTTGTCGCACAGCATGCTCGGCGACACCTTGAGGAGCATTTGAGAGGTTAGCAACAATGAATTGGTTCTTCTGCCTATTAAATTTAAGGGCATGGCACCAGTAAACTGGAGAGACTTACCAAAATTCTTGAGGTTGATATACCCGTCATGCAACGTAATGTTCATCGATTCACGCGAAACTTATTACCAAAAACTATCGTTAGTATCATAGTTATCGCGAACGAAAGCCGAATGAAACGACTGGTTAACATTAAAATTAAAAGAGCCGTGTTAATATTGCTGTAGGTACAATACAAGCATCTTGTACGATGAACAAAAGCGGACTTAGCAGATTATATTCTTTTCTGTTATTACCCACATAGTTATTATCTTAAACTTTATAGAATTTAGTTTTTTTTATGAAACCTTTTACCAGTAAACGAAGCAGGCAGGCCGAGTGTGACAACATGCAAAAGCACGAATGCCCGCAAGGTTGAAGAGTAAAGTTTACAATACAATACCGTTTAAGTTCGACCTGATGTAATGGACTGAATGCTGAAATGGTATGGCGAAAGATGAACGACTGTAGCGAAGGTTAATGATGAATGGTTATGTTAAATGATGGAATGGATTGAAGCAGCTACGTGAGACAAAGAGTTGAGTAATGTATGGGCGGTGAGCAGGACTACTTACGAATACTATAAAGTCACATTCCTTACTTCCTAAAAATGTACAGTATACAGAATATTACGAGTAAGTGGGTAAGATGATTGTAGAGGCAGAGGAAAGCATTCAGCCGATTTCAATTCCTAAAATTGATAGGTTCTATTTCGCTGTAGACAAGCATCACTATTCGCCACATCATCATCATATGATGGACCCTAGATTGTCCTTCAACTTAGCGCCGTTACTAGCGCATGATGAGAGTACATGTAGATTGTTTTTCAGCAGCCATTGGTCAAAAGTTTAAATTACCTTGTACACGTGCATCAATTTGGTACCCCTTGTCTTAGCATCTTGCGTTAAGTGGTGGTAAAGAGATTTTGGATTATTTAGTCCCGTTTTCCAAACTGCTTCGGCCTACCGCTCGTTGGTTTACCTACAGAAGTTGTAGTGGTGGGAAATTAATCCCGGTTTCCAGTGCTTTCGGCTTGATGACTGAAGTAACAGAGGTGGGAAAGAGTCATAGGATTTCATTTTCCTGGCTGCCTCGTCGGCCTACCGTTCGATGATAAAGAAGTTGCAGTGAAGGGACAGAGAGGTGGGATCCCTCCCGTGTTCAGCAGCATCGGCCTATCGCTAGTAGTAAGAAGTACAGAAGTTACAGTTCTGGGAAATAATAACTGTTTTTCTGCTAGCTGCTGGTCTGTCGCTTGATAAGTACTTAGGTAGTAGAGAAATTGCAGTGGAGGAACAGAGGGATTAGTCCGTTTTCCTAGCCGAGGCGGCCTACCGTTTGATGATACAGAAGTTGCAGTTCTTTTTTTCTGCTAGCGCCCAGTTCTTAGCTGCCGGCCTGTAGTGTGTCCTACCTACGGGTCGAGGATGACGTCGGGCGGGCCGGACGAGACAGGTCGTCCCCACGGGGGTTTCCTTGTCTTGCCCCAGCTGCCGACCTGTGAGTATATCCTACCTGCGGGTCGAGGATGACGTCGGCCGGCTGTGCGCGGTGGCGGGTGAGCCGCCGCCCTACAGGTCGTCCCGGGTAGGGTTGCCAGGTGTTCGGCTTTAGCCGGACATGTTTGGCTTTTTACGGTCTTGTCCGGCTTGTCCGGCTTTTTTTACGCTTTTTATTTGGCTGCCGCGTCAGGCGAAAGTCGAGCCACAGAATAATGAAGCGCACGCGTCAAGACGTTGGGCAACCGATGATGATTGTACTCACTCGTGAGCAATGAGAGCTATGACACTAATTAACCTAGTCCCGGGGCTTCCGAGCTCGTCCTGCCCTAGCTGTCGGCCTGTGAGTGTATCCTACCTGCGGGTCGAGGATGACGTCGGGCGGGATGGCGGCGGCGAGCGGCGGCGCGGCGGGGCTGCGGCTGGCGGGCGAGCTGCCCGACAGGTCGTCCACGCGCGAGTTCACCAGCTCGTCCAGTTTGGCAGCGTCCGCGGGCAACATCGCCGCCGTCGCCTTTTTCAATTTTAGCAAAATTATAATCATGTGGACACATGAAGATAATCCTAGCTATTCTGCTGTTCTTATTAGATGTGCAATTTTTTGGTTTACGATAATAAACTATGTCGATATTCCGAAATTTTACGTATCTAAATTCGTTTTTGGTTGTTACGGAAAACTGAAAGCTAAAAAATCACTAAAAATTATTACATTTTAAAGATCCCGTGTTAATCTAAATTATTCATGATTAAAAAGTAATAATTTCATTTTGTCAATTACTTAATTAGCCGAAATCACTTAGGTATAATAATATCTTGAAGCAAAGCAGGTGGCAGCTCCTACTTAGAATAAAATTGGTACAAGTTACAATAACGACGTACCTTCATGGCGTCTTCTACCAATGCTTCCATGTGCGCGCTTTGCCGCGCCAGCCGCCTCTCGATCTGATTCGACTCCATCTCCATCTTGGTCATGGCGCCGAAAGGGTTGAAGGTCTCGTCCGGGCGCGCCGTGTTGTAAACCATCATGCGCTGCTCGGACGGCATCACGGTTGCCTGCATCGACGTGTCCGTGATCATCAACTCTGGGTTCAACACCTTCATATCGGGCTGGATGTCGATCTGCGTCTTCGCCGAGATCAGCTGCCGCATCGGGTCCATCGCCTGCATCATCGGCGGGTAGATCTGGCCCGCGTTGTCGTCCGAGTTGAATATCGCGGCGGTCACCGTCTCCACCATCTTGTCCGTCTGCACCTGGTTCTGGATGGCCTGCAGCTGCTGCGTGAACGACGCCAGCGGCGACGGCGGCTCGCTCTGCCCGGGCGTAGTCGGCGACATCTTTATGGCGTCGTAGCCGTAGCTCACCTGATCGGGCAGTCGGTTCGTTAGTCAAAGGCGTACACTTTGCGCTGTATGGCCGTTACACCAACTTTGCAAATTATTATGTTTGTTGAACAAAAAAGCAAAAAAGAAGGTGTTGCGACTTGTTGGATAAAATTTGCGTCTACTAATCAAGGCAACCATGGCAGATGTCAACAAGATTCCAAATTGTAAATGCGGCTCTCTCAACCGGGCCGGTTCTCAACGCTCTCGTCGTGTTACCTGAGTCTGGGGGTCCCTGGCGATGGTCTCGGACTTCAGCCGGAGGTCCACGACCTTGAGGTCGTCGGCGAGCATCTGGCCCGCGGCCGGCTCGGGCCCGTCCGGCCCGCACGACGACTCGCCGTGCTCCAGCGAGTGCTGGCTCGACTCGTCCGCCACCTGCACACGGTAAGAACTAGGCCTTGACGCGGAGAACTAATATGGCCTTATTAAGAAATATTTAGGAACCTAGCTGTCAATGCTGATCGGGAGTTCTAGTAGAGACTGGTTACGAATTGAACTACACGCGCTTAGGGAACTGAGTATAGACGAGGAACCAAAGGGTTCCAGAAACTTTAACTCAGATATTAAAGAGATCATGAGAAGATGACTTGCTGACACAGAAAGAAGAGAGAAAAGAAATCATAATTAAAAATAAATAGATGTATCAATTTACCTCGCTCTTGAGCCCCACGGGCTCATGATCGGGCATCAGCAACGAAGGTCGGCGGACGGGTAACGACGGAGGGGGCATCATTCCTCCCCAACCCACTAGGGGGCGTTCGCGTTCCCTCTCCTCACCTGGACATAAGACTGTATAATTAGCCATCGCCACGGAAGAACATACGCCTAGCTACGTGCCAGCCCGGAATCACTGCCCTCGGAAACGCGCTGATTTTGATTCGTGCCACTTTAACGTAAATGCGTCCGTTTCAATGAAGTTATAAAAACAGGGTCTCCATAGAAAAACTATTTCGATAAATGGAGCTTTATCCGTCACGTTCTCTCATGGTCGCATCGCAGATTGAGCGAGTGAGGCGGATAGATGCAATCGAATTGGTTCGTCGAGTAAACTTGCTGATACTTTATACGCTATCACCGAAGTACGAGTAATTGTCTTTACTATCGCATTTGATACGGTAAATATGGTACGAACTTAAACCAATTTAAATAACCTGTATAATCTACTTAAGCTAAAAATATCTATTTTACAGTTACTTAAAAATACTGTTCATTATATTACTTGCCGGTGGATAAAAATTACACAAATCTAGTTTGATAAAATTCAATTTTAAAAATGAAAATTAGTAAACGAGTTCTCACCCAACCACAGAGGGTAGGTGGGGTAATATTTGAAGGCTGAAAAAGTAATTTATACTAGTTTTAACTTCTCAAGGGCAGCTTGATGGTCAGGTCAGGGCAAGGCACGGGTTAATCTAGCTAATGGTGTAGGATGGGGTCTGTATAGTCTGTACCTAAATAAACCTGTAGCCCCCGTCATGGAGGTTGCCGACAAAAAGTAATGGCGTGCCATAGCATTTTGAACCTTAAGATCGGCCAACACGATCGTTAACAAATCGTCAGTTAAAAATGAATTGACTAACCGTTAATTTCTATCGGCCAGCTGAAACCGGGGGTGAGTGTAACTGAGCAGTAAGTTTTGTGAAAGTTTTTAATGAATCGTAGGTCAGTATACACCATATATGTTACGTAATATTTAACATTAATACAACCGGCAGTTTCAATAGCATCATTTTAACGTGAGTTCTTTTGAGTAGTGTGCGTCAGAATAAGTGTTTTATTTTGTTTTGTGTTTCAGTGTGTAATATAGAATATTTACCTACAGTAACCGTCAAATCGATACTGAAAGAAAGAACAGCTTTATTACAAGGCACGATATAAGCGTAAGTAGGTTCCTGAAGTTTATTTAAACTAGTAAATGTGGTCACCGTGACCAAATAGACGGATATTTGACGGTTAATTTACCTATCAGTTCGGGTATTTAAATAAAGGGGGGTAAATTTGGAAAACGCGTTATAATTCAAAGCGTTGTTAAGAACTCGCAGCATTAACTAGGCCAAATTGAACACCCATGTGACATTATAGAACAAATGACGTATTAATGCAAGAACTAAATAATTATTTATCTAAATTCCCACCTATTCATTTATATTAGAAATTAGAAATTAATAGTTCAGTCAGTAGTTTGGAAAATAAAATACCGCGCGATGTAATATGCGCACAGCGCCATCTATCGAGTTGAATATGCACCATTAATAAAATTCCTGAACTTCAAAATGCAAATAGGGATTATGCATGAACATTCTGGTCATTACGATAAAGTAAAAAAAAAAAACAAAAGCAAAAATCATTCAAAGTCATCAGGAAATGGACTAGGTATTTTTGAAATTGAATTAAATTCTTTGTTCCCTTCAAATGGGAACATGAACGGTTTTGAAAAGCGACATTTGGAGCAATAATCAATAATAATAAAACGTATGTCTTTGCCTGCATTGATGCAGAATTTAAAAAAACAAAAGTCATGCATCGCCCCTACTGTGGGTAGTAGTAGAATGTGTGTGTGTGCGTGTTGATGTCAGTACCGTGCTGGCGCGACGCGGCGGCTCTGCGCGGCTGGCCCGCGACCTAGACAGACCTAGCTTGAACAGAAGGGAAAAAAAGAAAGAGTACGCCATTTTCGCATCAGTCATTTCTTCCAAAATGTTTCTCATATTCTGTTAATAATTATCATCTCTGCACCTCATCATGCACAAACTAAAGCGCATGCTGTTAGAACGACGAAAGCAAGGTCTGGCTACTAGCTTAGTGGGCTGTACAGCTGTAGGTATACGTACAGAGGCGTGATTGATTACGTTAGAACACCGTACGAACTACAGGACACTGTTACGATGAGATATTAAATGTTTTAAAAATAAGGTTCGTTATTTTAAATTACATCGTCTGGTTGATTTAAGTAAAAAAGATTGTATTAATTACAAATGAAGGCAATTAGGAGAGATGTAATTAAATGACTCCCCCTATTTTTAATGATTAAACTCATTTGTAAGCTGGTTAGAGAGTGAGAATGAACATTGAAGTATTTGAAATGTATGTAGACAAACAAAAGCTAAAGACCATAAAGCAAGCAACTAATTCAATGGAAAAATAGGTAATGAAAAGAACTACTGAATTTAACTTGAAAATATTTTAGCCAGTTAGTGCATCGTGAAGAAATGCTTCAATATCAACTAACTAATGTATTCAGTGACAATATTAGTTGTGACAACATTAATGTAATAATAAAAAGCTATTAATATTGAAAAGCAGATTTTAAAATACCATGTAACGTGAAAACGCACAAAGGATAGCTGTTAAATTATTAACACAGTTTTATTAAAAACAACATTTTGGCAAACGTTTTAAAATGATAAAACTGCTTTGCTTTATAGTTTATCAGCTATTATGTCCATCAGTAATCATCACATAATTTATTAAAACATCATTTCAAATATCAGATATTATAACAGTTAATGCAATTTCAAGTCCCATTCACAAAATAATATTTTTCATTGCCATATGATTTTCCCGCAGTGTAAACTATGTTACTTGGATCCGAACAATGATTTGTACAAACATACGAGGTATGCAATGGTATGTATAAATTGACTTTCCTTTATCTTTTGTAAGACTAAAATATGGATTATGAACCATTGGCATAACTAGGAGACAAGGGCGCCCAACATAAATGCTACTAAATAAATATATTAAACATGTCCTTTTGCAAACATATGTAAATATACTATGTATTATGTATCAATAGGGTACATGACACATTCCACTGTACATTTTACGATAATGTTTAAAATAGACATAAATAATTTATCTGAGTTTTTATAATGTAGAGCTTTTATGAATCAATTTTGTTTGCTTTATTTTATTTTATTCATTTAGAGCTATAAATGAACAGATATGAACAATTATTTAACCAGTTGATTATCATAAATAGAAAATGTTGAGGAGTGTTTCTGGATATTTTTATACCAACAAAACGGTATTACTTTACGATAGTTTAGAACTTTTGTTCGTCAGATAAAAACTTGAAATATGATTGTAGTTTTGGTACAAGAATGAGAGACAAGATGATGGATGAGGGCGATACTACGAACGACAGACCATACACAAGGCCAAATATGTTGGATGTTTGATAAGAAATTTAATATCGAGGTACCCCTAACGCAGAGGCAGTCAAATAGAGCATTAGCTCTTGCTCACGTTTCTTAATCAAACTATTTTATCAAATTAAAATGGCAATGCCAGATTTTGTATGGAAGGTGGCGTCTTTTTTTTTTCGCGCGGCCATCGACCAAACTTTGTTTTTTGATTACAAAATACTGTAATAAACCAAACTTACTATGGCATGTATACCTCTAAACTCAGTCTAAACTGAGTTACGAGCATTAGAAGTTTGATGATTTTCATACTACATTTGCTTTATGCGCGCAAGTTTTGTAAGAAATTGCAAAAAAAAAAGTTTGGTCGATGGCCGCGCGAAAAAAAAAGACGCCAATTTCCGGCATTGTCTTTTGAGAACAGCATGGTACTAGTGTGTGTCATGTACCCTACTTGCAAGTGGACAACACTAGCTGCTATGTACAGACGCCCGAGGCGTGCCAGTTACGCGGGTAGGCACACAAGCGAAGCTAGGGCGCGCGCTTGCGCTGCGGGTACCTTGTGCGTGACGTGTGCAGTGGATCGGGCCGGCGGTGCGAGGGGTGTAGTAGAAGGCGTGTGACTCGGACGCCTTGCCGCCTGACCGCACGAATAGCTGCACCATTACCGCCTCAGCGATGTCCTGGCGAGCGTATGGCGGCACGCAGCATACTAGATGCGTCTGTAGAAGGAACTTCATTAGCAACTGCGCGATATACCTTTAGAGCCCTACCCCTTTAAGTCACGAGGGACCCTTTTACCAAACTTCTGTCTTGTCAGGGACCACATTTTTTTTCAAAATCCTATTAAAGGGGAGGTTGATTTCTCGCCCACTGTTCGCCGTTTGCGTTATGTTGACTCGACTCATCACGTCACATCACTTGTTTATTACGATGTCTTCGTGGACCACTTGGAATGCCTCCAGGGACCGCGGACCACCGGTTAAGAACCACTGATTTAGAGCATGGGGTAGAACGAAAGGAACGTTTGACCAAAGCCATGTCTTGACGAACATATGGCGGGGTATGTGGAAGGAATTTCATTGTAGCATCTGGGCGATATAACGTTTAAATATGGGGTAGAGAGGAGTGGTTGCTTAAGGTCTAATTTTATGATGGTCAAAAGGGCACCAAAAGAATCTCGTTCTACTCTCATAAAAGGCTATGGCTGGCTCATATTTGTCGCCAAACCTATGAAAGATGGAGTGTTTGATGGGACTATTCCTAAGTCTCGTTCGTTCGAAAAGTATGAGTTCTCTAGTGGAAACCACCTCACGATAAACATAGGACTCTGTTCGATGCACCGACGACTTCAAATAGGCAATTAGCGGTACTAAAGTGTTTGAGGAAGGCTTTCGTCCAGCAGTCAATAGCTTTTTGGTAATGAGAATCTGACTGAGAACGATCGGATATGTAGTTAAAAATAATACTGTTTAAAACTCACCTGTTGCAAGAACTCTTTGTCAGGTACCACCTCTTCCTCCCACACGCTGCGGCCTTCCTGCTTCTGGCTGAAGACCACGCGCGTCTCTTTGAGAAAGTTCTTCCCTAACAGGTAGAGTTCCAAGCCTCCGTTCGCTGGACAAGAGACCAGGGACTTGCGGCACACTTCTGGTACCCCTGGCGGTTGAGCTAAAAGGAAAGAGTTAAAGTTAGTCCCACTAATAAAATGACAAATGTTCAATTGGAAAAGGTTTATAATTCTGTGGTGTTCGGGCTGGAAATGTAAATAGGTTGTTAGAAGAATTAAGTTGAATGAATATTGACTGAATGAATTTGAGAGAGAATCCTAATGATGCATCCTCCTTAAGTTGTAATTGTCTTTTGATGTTATATATAGATCGTTTCATCCACGAAGACGCGCCCCACCATTCTTCCGCGAATGTTTGAGTGTTATCGGTACACGTTAAATTATCAATGAGTGCACACGCACACTACAATAATAACGCTCGGATTGCTCGGATCAAACTTTCCGCCCTCCGCGCTTCCTTCAACCAAAAATTGGTGGGACTCATCTTCGTGGATGAAACGAATAAACGATCTATAAAAAGAAGGATATTTCATAAAGTCCGTTGCTGGTTCCAATACACAGTTTCACTTATGCTAGGTCACATCACTACTACAGTGATGAAGACATTGCAACTCCTGGTACTCACTGCAGATGATTTGCGTGGAGCAGACCTGCAGCGTCTCCCGCTGGCCGGCCGCCGACACGATTTCGGTGCGGAACACCATGCGGCAACGAGTGGACTTCTTCTTCCCTCGAGACACGTGCGCTCCCCCTCCTAGCGACTCGCCGAACCGATGCTCCACGTCCACATTCCGTTCCTGAATGAGAGAAGGGTCGTGAAAAAATTATGTTATCGGGCCCAGAGGAAGCGTACCAGACTAAGTAACTTGTGATTTGAAGACCTTTGATTTGTGTAAGTACTAAAGTGTGGTAAATAATTGAACCAGAACTCTACCACCAGACAATTTAGGTACCTATTTAACTACATACATGGTCTAGCACGTAAGTACGTCGGAATTCTGTTATACGTAAATAGACAGAAACTCTTCACGCATATTTCACGAAGGAAACAGTGGCGGTTACAGAGATAAACTGGAGCCAGTGAATAAGAGAAAAGAACACCGCGTTCTTAATATTCTTGCGTAGGTACCATATTATGTCATGATCTACGTGTTACTATAAAACAGCTGTTCACGTGAATAATTTGCTTTGAAACAAAACAAAGCAAAATTGTTGTGCAATTACCTACATTTTTATTGCCTGCACTGATAACGATGCGCTATTTATAACCGTTCGTTCACCTCAGATAGTGCAACCGACCAGCAAATTGACAGTTGAAGGAAGATTAACGACTCGGTGACGTGACCAGTGGCCAGGCCGAAGAATATTATTATTGTAACTCAAGAGAATGACAAGGTATCGATCGCGAAAATAGCATTGCGTATTCAAATTAAGTTATGAAATGAGACTGAACCGAGAGAAGTTAGATGGAAAGCATAGAGACTCAGTTAAGTGTGAAAAAGATGAGAGTTAACAAACTATATTTTGCAATCATTTGCTAGTCACTTGATAATCTTTGAGACGGATCTAAGATGGCACGGTCGCAGACAATGTAGCTGCTAGACTTTGGAGATAGCACAAGTAAGGTTTGCTGCTAGACACTTCATAATCTTTGGGATTGGGATGGATCTAAGATGGCACAGTCTTAGACAATGTAGCTGCTAGACTTTGGGTGATAGCACAAGTAAGGCTTGCTGCTAGACACTTCTTAATCTTTGGGATTGGGATGGATTTAAGTTGGCACAGTCGCAGACAATATAGCTGCTAGACTTTGGTGATAACACAAGTAAGTCTCGCTGCTAGACACTTCTTATTCTTTGGAGCGGATCTAAGATAGCACAGTTGCAGACAATGTAGCTGCTAGACTTTGGTGATAACACAAGTAAGGCTCGCTGCTAGACACTTCTAATCTTTGGGATGGATCTAAGATGGCACAGTCGCAGACAATGTAGCTGCTAGACTTTGGGTAATAACACAAGTGAGGCTTGCTGCTAGACACTTCTTAATCTTTGGGATGGATCTAAGATGGCACAGTCGCAGACAATGTAGCTGCTAGACTTTGGTGATAACACAAGTAAGGCTTGCTGCTAGACACTTCATAATCTTTGGGATTTGGATGGATCTAAGATGGCACAGTCTTAGACAATGTAGCTGCTAGACTTTGGGTGATAGCACAAGTAAGGCTTGCTGCTAGATACTTCTTAATCTTTGGGACGGATGTGAATCTAAAATGGCACAGATTCAGACAATGTAGCTGCTAGACTTTGGGTGATAGCACAAGTAAGGCTTGCTGCTAGACACTTATTAATCTTTGGGATTGAGATGGATCTAAGATAGCACAGTCGCAGACAATGTAGCTGCTAGACTTTGGTGATAACACAAGTAAGGCTTGCTGCTAGACACTTCATAATCTTTGGGATTGGGATGGATCTAAGATAGCACAGTCGCAGACAATGTAGCTGCTAGACTTTGGGTGATAGCACAAGTAAGGCTTGCTGCTAGACACTTCATAATCTTTGGGATTGAGATGGATCTAAGATAGCACAGTCGCAGACAATGTAGCTGCTAGACTTTGGGTGATAGCACAAGTAAGGCTTGCTGCTAGACACTTCATAATCTTTGGGATTGGGATGGATCTAAGATGGCACAGTCTCAGAAAATCAAAATCAAAATCAAAAATATTTATTCAGTTTAGACCACAAGTGGCACTTATGAACGTCAATAGAAAATAATAAAAAAAGAAAAGGTAGCCCTTATGGGGCACTTTACATGTCTCCTTATCTTTTGGGCCCTACCAGCGCTTCGAGACAAACATATGGCAAGTGCTGAGAAGAAACGCCGGAACAAACTCAGTCACCACTTATTGACAATGTAGCTGCTAGACTTTGGGTGATAACACAAGTAAGGCTCGCTGCTAGACACTTCTTAATCTTTGGGATTCGGATGGATCTAAGATGGCACAGTCTTAGACAATGTAGCTGCTAGACTTTGGGTGATAGCACAAGTAAGGCTTGCTGCTAGACACTTCTTAATCTTTGGGATTGGGATGGATCTAAGTTGACACAGTCTTAGACAATGTAGCTGTTAGACTTTGGTGACAACACAAGTGAGGCTTGCTGCTAGACACTTCATAATCTTTGAGATTGGGGTGGATCTAAGATGGCACAGTCTTAGACAATGTAGCTGCTAGACTTTGGGTGATAACACAAGTAAGGCTCGCTGCTAGACACTTCTTAATCTTTGAGGATTGTGATGGATCTAAAACAGCTCAGTCCAGACAATGTACAATGTAGATTTGGGTGATAAGTCAGGTGCAAAAATTGATAGAGGTGCGCGAACAGACAACACTGATTGCTACTAATCTGAAATATTTCATGTTTGAACAACAAGTAAGTAGGTAGGTATGCTTACATATTCTCGATATCATACACACATGAGACGGGTTATGCAATGGATATTAATTAGTTGTGGATGTAACTAGTCTGAGCGAGATCGAAGGCCAGGCAATAAAAACTTAATTTTTAATTTTCACCCTTTATCAAAGTAAAAGAGTTTATCCGACTTCTAATTACAGAGATAGCAAGAATGTCTGTGCTCGCTCATTTAGTATAATTAAGTCATTACAAGACAAGACACATAAAACGTAATGCCTACTGTTGTACAGTAATTCTACATTATTATGTGTTGTGGCAGTGCTACTGTATCAGCGTCACTGTTTATCCAACGCGCGACGGCACGATAAAAACGATTGTGTTGTTTTATGTCTCGACCGATAACATTTCAGACATACAAACAATGTGCAGTTCTTTTTCGGTATGCCTACAATCCTACATACTTATCAAAGTTATACTGGGTTCTTGAGAGTACACTGACTCACAACCGTAAACCGATTCAGACCTTTCTAAATCTTCAGCGATAACAATAAACCATTTCCTTCACCGAAAATGGAATGTATATGCTGTAGTAGTGTATTCAACGAGGCACGGAACAATGCACAAACGATCGCTTATTACTGGTTTATGCATGCAGGTATAGTGCACTACGAGACGTGTGGTGCATAAAGGCTGATCTAGGCTCCTGACAAACGGTATTGTATTGATGAAAATTCACTTTAGAGGCATACTGAACTGAGATAATAAATATAAGAAAAAACTCTACATTTTCTGTCCTACGGTGATCATCAGAGAAGACATTAAGGCCTTGGATTAAGACAGTGAGATGTCACCCATGAATCTATACTCAAGTTAAGCCCAAGATTATGCTAAAATAAACGTTTGAGTTTGAGCGTCAAATTCAAACTAGAATCTTTAGTATCTTGAACAGGTAGAATTCAGTTACACAGTGAATAGGTAGGAATATTAAGGTAGTTAACTATTAACTTCAATCGAATGCATCTACGCTTAACATCAGGTGTGATTGCCGTCAAAACCTGCGTTTTGCCTTATAAAAAGCAGCTACACACGAGTATAAAGTTACGTGGATGCAGGTGGAGGACCGATCGTTGTGGAAATCCTTAGGGGAGGCCTTAGTCCAGCAGTGGACGTCATTTGGCTGAACGAACGAATATATAAAGTTACCTTGAGTATGCCCACGCAGTCGCAGGTGACCTGCCAGTTCTTCGTGGGCTCCAGGTCGATCTCGATGACGACGGTGCCGTCCTCCTTACGCTCCTTGCAGGGCGTGGAGTTCTTGCCCGACACGCGGCAAGCCTGGTAGAACATGTGCGGTGCTACGCGGCCCGTGTCAGTTCCTATGAACACCTGGAAGGGAATTGCTGCTGTAATAAAGATCCTAAAAATAAGGAATTTTAGAGTACTTCCTAATAGAGTCGATTTTGGGAGCAAAAAGTTTCTAGTTAAAGACTGGTCCGAATCATCCAGTTTGTCAAAAGAAGTAGACGATTCTGTGCTTTGGATGCTTTTAGTTTTTTGAACGATCCATGTTTACTTGATAGTATTGAGAGAAGACCATTAAGATGCTACAAAGTTTTCTAAACATACCTGTAAAACTGCTGGTTTATCGTATCCTACTAATTTGACTATTGGGAAACCATTCCCGGAGTTGTCTTTGACAGCGCCTCGGCTGCCTTCAGTCTGATATCTGCAAGAGAAACCAACTGGTTCAGAAACAGATCACACTTTATAAGACCTCAACAATAGTCCAAGCTAACCGCCTCGAAAGAAGAGGTAGTAGTAATATGTCTTTGCAACCCTTGTTCAATGGACGATTGGCCTGAAAGTTCCAAGATTTAGCTCTCACCTCGCTCTGTGCTGCGTCTCCGGCTGGCACAGAATCTGTAGCTCCACCTGTCCATCCCTGGAGCGGCTGGTGAGCGGCGCGGCCAGCCCCGGCGGGCCCGAGTGCGACATGGCCGCCAGCCGCCGCCTGGCCAGAGCCTGCGCCAGCTTGCCCCCGTATTTCCCCCCCAGCTTGCCCGCCAATTTCCCCCCTAGTTTACCCCCCGCGCCGGACAGTTTCCCACCGCCGGCGTACTTGTTCGCCAACTTTCCCCCACCAAGCTTTCCGCAAGATCTATACGGATCTTGAAACCGTTTACCCGGTGTTTCTGTTACGTTTGGACTAGATATGCTGCAGCCTGCTCTTATTCTGGAATCAAACATATGACACGATTAGTTGCACGTTTCGATTGGTGTGGAGTAATTCTGTTGACGGACAAATATACACCCAATAATGAGAATGACATGCCCCGGACGGACAATTTGGACACAAATGAAAATAAATAAGTTATTTATAATGAGTTATATCGACATGGTAATTGTTGTTCTGAACGCGTTATTTCAGAAGTAATGTGCGTGCAGTAAGCATGCATATGTGGATGGAACGCCTTAAAATTAAATGAACATTCATTAATTATAACATTGACTTGATATACAGGCATTTAGGTTATAAGTAGAGTTAAAATTTCACTAAATTAGGTTTATGAGTTATCATGAAAAAAGACTTTAGAGTTACTGAACAAAATCTAATTTAATATGTGACCTACACTCGGCTCAATATAGTTAAACAGATCGTCTGAAAAAAAGGAGTCCGGTAGGTGCGAGAAAATTAACTTTGACGTAACTACTGATATATTTTCAAAGAGGAGAACTCGGACTAGCTTTAGCTTTTAACTCTTACAATTTTAAATGAGGACACTTTTATTAATGTTTCGCTATTTAATGAATGATAGGTATAGTTACATATTTAGTTCCTATCGCAGATGCGCAGGGGCAAATCGAAGTCGCGCTATATCGGACACCCCTATTGCCTACTAAGGGCTTATTACGCCTGTAAGTATAGTAAAAATACCTCTTGGAACTAGATGATAAAGAAATGATGTTTGAACCTAAAAAAAATCGGGTTATGCACGTAACTTGAATAGTAACTAATGAGGTTAGTCCTATATTGCAAAAGAGACATACACAGGAGCCGGGAGAATGGGAGCGGGCGCTAGCTGGTCCGGCGCGTCGAGCGGCGCGAGCGCGGGCGCTGTCGCGGGCGCGGTCGCGGGCGCGGTCGCGGTCGCGGTCGGAGGCGCATGCGCGGGCGGCGCGAACGCGTACGCGTCGTTCGCATCGTCGCACTCAACCTTAACCCCTGACTCGCTCTGGCCCCGGCGTCGTTTGGAATCCGGGTGGTCCCAATCCTCCAAAGTTTCTGTTGATCTGTGCACACGTAGGGTTTCATATAGTAGGAGGTCCTTGTAGCACCATCACAGAACGCCCTATGAAGAAGGTCCCGACAGAAAGAAGCGAATGAACTAATGAGTAGGAAGGCGAAGTCCACGTAACAGCACGTTTGGGAAAGATAGGAATGATAAGCTTTACCGTAAAGGTAACATGTGTTTCCGTAATTTACAACATGTTGCGTAATCCCTGAAAGATGTATAAAAAAGTTGATCCAAGTTTAGTAATGTCCAAAATGTAATTAAGTACTAATGAGGAATTAACAGAATTTGCGACAAATATTTGTGGTGCGTTGTGTTTAACTTGTATTTTGAGGATACCTTTTACGTCCTTTTATCTTATAACTAGAAGATGACGTTTTAAAAGATGGTCGATTTCGAAAATGATGAAATGAGCTTATCGTAAATTGTAAATCTAATTTAAAGGAAAACCGTCTGATAGACCGATAGTGGACCAGTCTGATACCATGTGCAAAAAAGCGACACAAGTATCACAATGGGTCGTCAAATGATATCGATCTTACTTATTTATCGCTTCATTCGATAGACGCGTGAATCAGATGCGCAAGCACGTGCCAAAAATACGAATTAGCACGTATAGTAGATACTCTGCGCGCGCGCATGGCATGTCGTAATCGAATTATGAATTTATGAAAAATTGTTCTGAGAGGTTTTCAATGATTACTTTCTGATATAAGAATTATGTAGAGTAGCTTGATTAAACGGTCCTGGTGTAATCGTTAAGTAAATTCGATGTCTTAAAAATTCAACAATTTGCGAACAAAAAAGTTAAATATTTACTAACAAACAATGAGTAGGTAGGTACCTAATCTATGTCTGAAATCTCGTAATATAAATGATGAAATAACGTTGATGTCAGAGATAATTTTTAGCGCTAGTTGATAGTAGCTTCCGGTGGTAAGATAAAAAAGAAATGTCTTCATAAATTTTATTTGAATTTAAATTGAATTTATTTTCAAAATTGGTGAATTCTGTTGTCGTCGACTGTGTTGTTATTGCAATCCCACTTAGAGGATGACGGCGGGTCTAACGACTCCTCGTGAGTCAGATCCATCAAGAAGTTTACCGGTCACAGACCGAGTGCCCTTCAAATTGTGTCTCGAAGTTAGGACTTACATAACAAGACCAGTAAGTCTAGCACGAAAAACTTTCGACTTCGAATCGTTTGCGTATTCGAATCGCCATCGAGATTTAATATGAAAAGTTAAAACAACGCCCTTGTGAACGTAACGTAAAGTGCACTTAAAATTTCCAATTTTACAGACCTTCTAGAGCAGATGCCGCAAAAACTATACAAGATACAAAAAAACTAGAGTATGAGAAATGGTAGCGCGAAATTAATTTTGACAATCGAGATCATCACGTTATCGTTGAATTTGAAGGAATCTGATTTTGTCGAATACGCAAACTATTCGAAAACGAAAGTTTTTCGTGCTAGAGGTTTGCGTTGAGGAAACATGTGACTGTAGTTAGTAATCAAAAACTCGTAGGAAGTCAGGCTTATTTACAAATTAAACTTTGTTTTTATAGGAAAGCGAAATGTATTCGCGATCAGTATTACCTGAGCATCCATTGGAGATACATGGCATGACTAATTGATCATGTGATGCATTAATGTATGGCATTTCAAAGTAACGTGCGCCTCGCGGGAGTTCCTTTTAATTATCTGATGTAAAGTATGTAAATGACTTAAATAATTTGGATTCGACTGTCAATTGCCATAATAAATAACACCGTCTAGAAAATTTACCTAAATCTCACGTGTAGGTACATAATGTTACTATCACGAGATCTGTTAGTTCGTAGATACTAATAATATGATGTAAGTAATGAAAATTAGTTTGTGAAAATCATAAAAAAATGTTTAAATTCCTGCTTCGAGGACGTACGATACCTACTGAATGAAAACTGTAACAAAAATCACGTAGAGCCATCAGTGACAAAATACTATACACAAAGTGATTAATTGTGTGAAGTTGTCCAAAGATTAAAAATAAAAGTTATCCTAAGTTATATTGTAAAATAATGTAATTGAATGTGAAAATGTGAATTTTCTCGTTGGAATAAATAAATTTTCTAGCCGTAATTTATCGCATGAATTCTTCATTGTACAAATTCAAAGAAAAAGCTGTTACGCCGCGGACTTGTTTGTCCATGCGTACACGCACCAAAACCGGCGATTAATATCGATTGCGCGTGATTACTTACATTTAGGGTTGCTTGAATACATTTATTTACATTTTTAATAAATAATAGTATGTATGTAAAATGAAGTGCTGATGTTATTTACACTGCCTATGCAATAACTAATTACAAAAATACAGAACAGAAGAATTTCTGAAAAAAAAAAACACTTTGTCACTGTCTGTTACTTATTTTTTAAAATGAAATATTGAATTTTAATCTTACGGCATTTACAAAATAACTGATTATTTTATGTCTTTTTGTATTAAAAATTATGGTAATTAATCAGCCCTAGAATGTTTGTCTAAATGACGCATCTTCACTTGAAGGTCGAGTTGTGAGGATCTACGCGGAACCACGATATCGCGCTAAATATACGACGAATTCGCGGTTTTGGACGCGCTGATAGTGATGTACCACTAACAATAATACCTCTTGAAGCCGAATTAAACTGGAAAAACAAAGTTTTTCCTCATACATAGCTGGAATAACGAAAAATTAAATTTTACAACATTTTAAAAGTGTTAACAAGAGAAGAAGCTTGGGTATAATATGATGATGAATGATTTATTATAATGCGTTTTGTTAAGCACATTCAAGATGTGTGTTAGCCTTCGTAACATCATGAAGCAAGCTGTATGACATACACTGAGCTGTTCCAGCGCAGAAGCGTAAAAGGCAGTACATCTCACCTGTTGACTGGGTCAGGCCCGAGGCCGCTGTCGTTACTGTTCTCGCAAGGCTCGGGCGGCCTCAGAGAGTGTGTCTGTGCATAGTGCGCGAGTTTCCCGAATTTGCCTAAGTGGGCGAATTTGCCCGGGTGGGCGAGCTTCCCCGGGTGGGCGAGTTTGCCCGGGTTGATCTTTCCCGGGTGCAGTTTGCCCGCGTGGAGCATTTTGCCTGAGTGCGGCGTCTTGCCCGGGTGCGCGCGTTTATGGGGGGCCCTTATCACTTTTCTGTGTACGCGCGCGCTCATTGTCGCTGTCGTGGAAGTGGTCATTTTCATGCCTGCCGACAAACAGAATTGTTCTTGTTAGAAACCTGTTTTTTGTTTTGTTATGGGAAACACGTTTCTGTTGCTGCTTTAGATAAAATATGTCGATAATGATGTTGCATCTTTTATTTAGTAATTCCAAGTAAGATAACTGAGATAACTGACCATCTCTTAATAATGTAATTTACTTTAAATGTGACTGCTTGTATACAAAATTAAATAGTTAATAACTGACTTAAAAAAATAAGGCTTATCAATTTATCTATTTTGAATCAAAATTAAGTTGTATCCTATCTTAGTGTGATGTGATCAATCAAATCGGGAATAACTCTGCTTAGGTCTGTAGTGTGAAGTGATGTAACTCCGCCAACGTTATGACGGCGGCCGACACTCTGGGGGCGTAGTGTGAGTTTACGTCGACTGCGTAAAAAAGTGACATCAAATGTATGACGGATTGTACAGCGCCCCTAGCGGAAACTTTCAAGAACTAAAATCTTCATATAATTTTTAACGCGCTCGCTAGTGACGGCGTTAGATGTAAACTCACACTAAGCCCTCTGAATCACGCAGCAGCGTTGTCCTTCGCCTCCAGATCGCAATCTCCGCTTTAAAGACGGTCGTATAAAGTACGCCTTCAATCCCAACCTACAAATACTTACCTTTTGACTACTAAAAATCATTTTACATTCAATAAAAAGGACTTGTGTCCAAATAGCATACAAATATCGTCTAAAAAGAGGTTCATTTTCGTTGATAGACTGTAAATAGGGTGAATATGAAATCGGTACAATGGTAGAGCCTTCTTTAGACAAAAACTATTTTCAAATTTGAGGCCATTTTAAAATGCTCTACGTATTATGCAAGCCATTGATGTGGTCAATGGCTTGCTTTATACTTGTTGATTTCATATTAATCCTGTACAGGTTTAAAATTCTTAGTAAACACATGGTACAAAAAATCTACGGTGGATAAGCTTAGGATCAAAGGAGTAACTTAACATCACTAAATAATAGATTGATTAACACTTCCTCATATCTTTTTTATCTTTAAGAAGATCGATAAAACTCCGTGTGCAAAATATTTGCGCGCAACAATTTAAGTTTTGATCAACAAATGGTCAATGATCCGCGGCCAATATTTGTGGCCAACTGTTTGTTCATCGAAACATTTGTGAATCAGTGGGTGGCACTTTTCATATTTCATACAAAGTGTTACGCAACTTATAATGCAAGTTACCATCGCGTGTAGCGCATTTGGCATACAATAACATTTATCATTCGACCAGTATTTGTATTCGGGCTGCGATTGGGTCAAAGTACTACTCGTGTATCGTCATGCTCAATAGTTATGTCCAATAGAGACACATGTATGCTATGTAGGTAGCTGCTTGTATTCACTTAACGATGCTTGCTTAAGTGTAGGACCAAATCGAACGCACAGCGTTAAACAGAGCTGTACGTACACGCGCACTGTGAGACCTCATAGTAATGTTTGTGAATACGGGCGAAAATCTGACTCTAGAAATAGAACTCTAAATGTACTCTCACATAAGTACACGCATACATGACACAAACGATAACCTTTTCTTTCACATATGGATTCTTCATCTACAACTAAGCAAGGATTTATCATTTATTTATGTCATCAAGAAGACATAAATGGTTCCCATTGATATGGGCTCCTACTACGGCATTTTTCAAGGCGTGTGTAAATATTTTTGGCCAATCAGGTCGATGGCACCGATGGCCTGCCAACTGTCCTTTGACATGGCGCCAAGCCTTTAGACTCAGCCACAAGGCCGTTGCGCTGCGCTGCGTCGCAATAAACGAAGCGCAACGTAGCACAGCGATTTTTATTAAATTGATCCTTATTGATACCAGATTTAAGCTCAGATTTTCTTGGCTGATGTTAAAGATTAGTTCCTTCTGAAGAACTTCTTTGTCTGTCAACAACTTCTGAACACGGTTCGTTCTATCTACTTAAATATTCTGTGATTCTATGCTTCTAAAATCTCTACATAAAAAGCTGTATTACGTCATATTGTATTGTTAGAAATGCAGGCATATATGAAAAGGTTTCATTAGTGCTTGTAAACAATGTTATACAGTTCAATTCAAGAAAGTCGTATCCGTTTGTTGTTTTCTAAATATGGGGACGTAGCGAAGCGACCACGACTTTGAACTGAAATGTTACATCGTCTACGGCACTTGTCCTATTTTAGTTACGGCAATAAAAGTCCTCGAAACATCTAATTCAAAATATCATCAAGATACAAGAGTAAAGTTGATAAATAGTCAGTAAAATCATACAGATGACCCTCTCACGTCAAACCATAACGCAATGCGCGCGTTAACTGCCTCGCTAAATGTAATAGTCGCCGTCTGCCAAAGTACATAAAATTAATTTATTCGACGCCGTAAATCCATTTCGATTGATGATAAATTCACTGGAACAGTCTACGCCGAATCACTCAATAGGTATGTTAAATAGTAAGATAGGTAGAACTCAAAGTTTCTTTTAATTAATAACGAAAGTAATTAATCATTAATTAATATAATAAAAAGATAAAAAGTTGCAAATGTATATGTCAATACGGTGCAAAGATCTCTGTTGCGTCACAGCAATCACGAGCGCTGAAATTACGTTGCGTACGCGCAGCCGCTAGCCGGCGCGAGTTCATCCTTGTGAATGTTATGTCAGTTGTTTTGTTACGTTTTTAATTTATTTTCATGTCTGTCGTCACTGTTTGTTTTGTCACCTTTACATTCCAGTCTGTCGCAAGTTTCATAATCTTTTAACTGCAAGTGTCCAGCTTTTCTTAGATAGTCAACTTTATACTCATTAAATTTTAGACCGACTCTACCCTCTTTTCGTCACTTGCCCTTATCTCTACTTATATTTTCACCATCACCATAAAATATCATAGAGCAAGAAAATAAACAATTAAAACTGTATCAGTTCTTTTAAATAGTGAAATGTAACCAAGTCATGAGTTATTTATAAATTGAGAGCTATCCGGTTCAGTTAAGAATAGTACAGAGGCCGCGATCACATGTTGAGGAAGGACACCTCCTTTTAAAATATTCTGTGAAAATATCTCCGAATGGCTGTCAACTGACAGTGTGCGTCAGCTCCCAGACACAATACAAATAATAGTGCTACTAGAGATTAACGTAGCACACGGCGGCGCACGCGCATGTCTGTGCCTGAGCAGCCTACCTACAGCAGGGACGGCAAACTAATGGCACGTGTGCCATTGGTGGCTCGCGCCATATTGTTTAGGGCACTAGACTGAAATCAAACTGTCAATTTTTGACGGTTAATGACTAGTTTTTGACCGGTTTTTACCAATTTGACCGTAAACCAGTCAAATTCAGTCACTTTAGTAATTTTCAACATTACACACTACCAATCTCAAAATTCACTAGTAAATAATGTGTTTTGAATGAAGGCTATCGTAGGTATTTGACCTCATCAGTTGGTGCCATTGTTAAGGTCCTGTCACTCGCTAGTAGCTAAGGCAATGGCGTCAACCGAAGAGTGCTGAAAACTTGAAAGGGTAGAAAACAGGTATTTGACGACCGGTCTATGACTACATCAATTTTTTTTAGGAAAGTGGCACGTTGATGCTTATAGGTTCGCCATCGCTGGCCTACAGCCTACCGCGATATAATCTCGTGCGGTGGCAGGAAACAATAAACTTCGTACTAAAACGTGGCCTTGGCTCACGAATCTCAATGTGTCATATGTTTTACTGCCTAGTTTCGGTTTGTCCCAACACCGATACTACTAAATTATGCAAAATTTTGGCTTCAATTAACAACTGATAAACTCAAAATAAACTTTTTCGGAGCCGAAAGACACTTTACTATCTCAAACTCATATAATATGTTATTGTAAGTCTGTAAGTCTCGAAGTTTCGATTATACCTTCCTCAATAAAATGTTAGTTAGCTTTAGTCATAATCATTGTTATTGAGGAATAGAAAAAAAGTAAGTAAGTGGGGGATCGACGATCTGGTGAAGGTCGCGGGAGGTGCCTGGATGCGGGCGGTGCAGGTCCGATCGTTGTCGAAACCATTGGGGGAGGCCTTTGCCCAGTAGTGGACGTCATTTGGCTGAAACGACGATGTAAGTAATGAAGTAAGTGAGGAAAAAAATGTACATTATAAAGATGGTTTTGGTGGCGACTGTACACTATAAAGGCCTTCGGAGCACGTGTAATCTCTCTTATCGGACAATCGGGTTGATGCAATGCTTACCAAACCAGAAACCACCGCAACGTGATTTCTTTGGTACTTTGCGGCCATATTGGGAAAAATTAACGGGACCTCTGCGTCGGAAGATGAGCGTGAAGATCAGTTTTATCTCGAAAGAGTCGACTACCTTAGGTACAAACGTCATACGTTTGTTTTTGTACCTTTTGCTTTCCTGTACGTAAACGTATTTAACTAATAAGATTCTCTTTAAAAAAGGCTCAAACGTACTTGTTGCCATTGGTTGCCTTGCTAGTGACTTCTACGCTGTGAGCCAGCGTTGTTTTATGAATGTAAATTAGATACGTTTAACATCCAACAATAATATTGTTGTGAATATCAAACAAAGGTTTTAATGTGAAACAGGAATGGTAATTAAAACATTTGAATTTATAATGATATACTTTTTACAATCTGGAAAAGATTTTTCACTTAGAAATCGTCAACTTAGACGTGAAACTGCATTGAAATTTACGTACCCGCGATGCAATTTGGTACAGCGCCATCTATCGCCGTTGTTGAACCGGTTGATCATAGACAAGACGCGGCACAGTTACAATTTCGCCGGGGCGCCACACGGCGATGTGTAAATATAGCCGACCTTGCGGCCGCGGCGGACCGCGCCGGTTCGCGACGCCTGATTAGTATCGCGATAAGGAGAGCAACTGCGGGCAATTACTAAACACGGCGAAATATACTGATAAAGGCGCTCTTTCACTGGGAATGCCTGAACATTATGATCTAGCACGGAGTCTAGCC